CCGGACAGGCCTCTCTGACGAGGTGACAGCTGAGCAGAGACGCGGCAGAAGGAAAGGACAAAGCAAGAGAATGTCCAGGGCAGTGTTGCTGGTAACAAGCAAGTTGGCCTTCCTGCCCGGCTTTTCCTCGTATTCCCCTGACAGCCTTTTGCTCGTCCAAAGGACATGACACCACTTGAAAGTCTCGCCTTGTCCCCTGCTACAATGAAAATAATGAGATCCTATTCTTAAGTAGTCCATCTTTCAAGGAAGGTACCAGGCCAGCTCCGTTTCCCCAAACATGACTGTGCACAACAATTTCTTGATTTCTTCAAAGCAAGAGTTTCCTGACTTAGATCTAATTGTTACACCACCTGTTGATAAAAGTGCATTAAAGCTCATCATGAGTTTTTAGTGCAGATACACCTTTCCACAGACAGGAGAACAGGTAAGTTTCACAAAGGGCGTTTACCAGTTGCTAGATAATTTTATACAAAAACGAAAGTACCATCAATCCCTGTGCTGCCAAGATCAGGAACCAAGGACTTAAAAGAGTGTATGGCTCAACTGCATGTTCTTCTTTCCAGCAATGAAGTGGAAACGTTGAAGGGGCTATTGGATAAATATTTTTATTTATCAAATAGTCGTATTTTTAATTTCATGATCTTTCTGGCAATGAAGATGGTATTTTTAGGGGCTCTTTGGATAAATATTTTACACCGAAGTGAACAGTGTCAATTAAGGGCATTCCAATCGACGCAAAAGAAATCACCCCGCTCCACCAGCCGAGAACTTCACACACTAACTTGTTCAAAACCATCAAACATCAAGGCTTCCACATTGCCATGAATGGTATGTTCCACAAACAGCCAGATAATTAAGAGACCAGCATATGGGAGTGAAATTTTTGCTTGCGAAATACGTCTCTCAATTTTGAAATCAGCTTTAAGTAGATGAATTCCCCTCCTCCCCTTGAGGGGAACGCAAATAACCAACGGCGCGCGGACCCCCGAGGCTTCCAGAAGGCTCGCGCACACCGGTGTCAAGCACCGCGGGCCACCCGCACAGTGGCCGACAGGCTCCCTCCCGCACCCGTCCTCTCCCCGGAGCACAGCGGGCCGCCCGCCTTTCCCCGAGGTCGGCGTAGGAGCAGGAGCGCCACTCTGACGAGCAGTCCCCGCAAGAGGCCCCGTGAGAAACGGCCCGGGGCTCTCCGGGCGCCGGGCTCCTAGGGCCCCGCGACCCCCGCCCCTCCCACCGACACGGGCCTGCCCGCCGCCCCAAGCCGCCGGGGGCCGCGCCGTGGGGAGGGCGCGCTGCGGGCGGGCCGCGGAGGGCCGGGCGCGACGACAGGGGAAGGACGGCGCTCGGGGGCCGCGCGCAGGCCGCACCCGGGCGGGGGTCGCGGGGTGGGGAGAAGGGCGGACAGGACGCGGCAGGCGCCGCGCAGGTGCGGCGCTCCCGCGGGCGGTACCGGCGGAGGGCGGGGGCCGCGCCTCACCTGCCCAGCGCCCGCTTCATGCCCGCGTCGGCGGCGCGGCGCGGCTCGGCCGCCCCCTTGCCGGCCAGGCGCAGGTTCTGCTTCAGGCGGCAGTCGGCGTCCAGCGCCACGGCGGCCGCGCCGGGGGAGGACGAGCCCGGGGCGGCGCAGCGCTCATGCTCCAAGGCGACGGGCTCGGTCCGCTTCCTCATCCCGCGGCCCGCAGGGCCGGCCGCCGACGGCGCCCGCTGGCCTCGCCTGCTGCCCGTGCGCGCCGCAGTCGCCGCGGCTCACGGGAACTGCCGCCGCCGGGGGCATCCCAGCACCAGGCCGCGCAGCCCCGCTACGGACGGCGCCAGGGGCCCGTCGGCCGCGCCGGCCAATCGGCGCCGGGCTCCCGCAGGCCCCACCCCGCGGCCCTCCGCCCCGTCCTGCGGGAAGCCCGCCCAGCGTGCCCCGCGCCGGCCGGCGGCCATCTTGGGGAAGGGCGCGCGAAGCCGCGCGGCGCGTCACGGCCCGGACGGGGCCGAGCGGCCGAGGGGCGCTGCGCGCGGGTCGCAGGTCGGGACCCGCCGTTGTGCGGCGCCCAGCGCGGTGCCCGGAACCGGGGAGGACGAGGCCCTCCCTTGGTCCCGACGCGGGGACCCGTTCCGGAGGCCCCGGACGTGTGCTTGGGAAGGTGAACAGGGACTGAAGGGGCAAGGCGGCAGTCGCCGTCAGTGAGTTACAGCTGTTTTCCCACAAGGACTTGACCTTAGAATATACGCTTTCAGGTACTGAACATACGAAAAATGAGCTGCTTAAATAATTTCTTTTTAAAAGCCCGTATTAGATTTTGGATTTTTGTAAAGCAGTTAGAGCTAGCTGATGGAGAAAAGTGCATTTCAAAGACAAATTTCCACTTGTGAAACCCAAATTAAGAATTTAACCCATCCTACAAAGTAAAAAGAAACAAGTGCAGTTTCACAAACTTGTCTCATATACCTTTTTTTAATATGGCATTTTTTTTACAAAAGACCTACAACCAAGAGATTCGCTTATTCCAAAGTAATTTTTGTCATTTTCAAGAAGAAATACCTTTAGAAATTTAATGGCTCCTTATATTAGCTTTGTAATGATAACTTTGAAATTGCAAACGAATTTAATTGCCCATATTACCAAATATCACAACCAGCATTTGAATGTTTGTGGATATTTCCAAATACATTTCTCGAATTTAAATGAATCATTTAAAAGGTAGCACATACTGGATATTGGCAATCGAGAAACTAACATAAAAAAAATTTTGACCCTGTCTCTTACAAAATCCTCCTTAACAGAAAAGGAGAAAAGCTCGCTGGGGGAGCTGGGGGAGAGCTGGGAGGTTCTGGGTCCTGCTGGCACTAGGCCTTGGCCGCAGGAGCCCTCCTGGTTCACAGCCCCTTTCTGAGTTGTCCGATCCGGTCTGAGGGACTGACCCCACACTGGTGACACCCACACTTGCGTCTTGCCCACACCTCTGAACCCAGGCTCACCCTGATGGTCAACTCATCCACTCGTATCCTGAAGGCACCTAAACCGACTGCGTTCAGAGGTGAGCTCGCAGCTTTTCTCCCACCCCCCAACTCCGTCCACACCCTTCCCCAACTCAGGAATGGCAAACGGTCCTTGCAATTCCTCGGGCCAGAACCATCGGCCATCCTTGATTCCTCCTTGAAGCCACCAAGCCTGGTGATCTCGCCTTTCAAATCTATTTAGGCTCCAACCACTGCTCACCTCCTCCACCATCCACACACCGTGCCCCAGGCTGCCGTCATCTCTTACGTATTTTAATATGTAAGCAGTTTCCTGCTTCCACCCTTGTCCCAATTCTGTCTACCTAACTCAGCTACCACGAAGGTCTTTTTCAAAACTTAGGTCTGGTTTGTCTGGGTTGCCTGCTCCGGAGTCACTGCCTCCGTGCTGATGCAGAGGCCCCCAGGACGGGCGTGCGTGTTGCCCGTGCGAACATAACTCGCCCTCCAGCACCTTGGCACTTGCATTCCTGCTGCCTGGGATGCTCTGCCCTCCCTGTGGCTCCATATACACTAGCTTACTCCCTCCCCACTGCAGGTCTGTGCCTGCTCTGGGCACTGACCTGAGCCCTCTCCCCACCACTGTTCACCTTCCCTGGCTTATTCTCCTTAGACCTTTCCCCCGATGTATTTGTCATCAGTGTATCTGTATCTGCGTGCTGTTTTCCCGCCCTGGAACAAAGACGCTGAGAACAAGGGCTTTGTTCACCGCTTTATCTTCCACGTCTAGAACAATGCCCAGTACACAATAGGCACTTTATAAATATTTGCTGAAGGAGTAATGGATCATCACAAACCCTTAGAAGTGACTCCGGTTGTCCCCATTGAACAGGCAAGAAAGTGAACCTCAGGCCTGGGGTCTGAAGGTCAAAAGGTTTACGACAAAGGTTGGGATGCTGATCTCTGGCTCACAGTCCTGTAGCACAGTTGACTTTGTAATTGTGTACTTAATAAAAACACTTGACTAAATTGTCCCTTACTGTAGAGCTGAAAAGGAAAAGTTAAATCGACGTAAGGATAAGATTCAGAGGCTTCGGGGCCGTTCCCCTCTTTCTCAGGATCACACACACATCTATGTAGCTATTATTTGCTGGAGGAACAATTTCTAGTCAGCAAGAATGAACCCAAGTAATATCGCTTTTTTTAAATAAGCGAATTGATTCTATAGCAGTCATTCCCACCTTTTATTTCATATGGTTATGGAAAACTTCAGAATCAACTGGGCAAGAATACGACTACATGAATTCGTGTTAATCTAGGGCGTTTTCTCCCCCGTCTCTAGACCCTGTGAGCAGAGATATTTCACAGGTGGCTTGAAATGGCTGCTTTAAACTCGAAGGTGGTGCTGTGGAGTTGTAAGATCAAATTCAAGGTCGGCCACAGTAAGCCGTGTGACCTTGCGCCAATCATCTAACTTGTGCTTCTTATTCAGGGCAGAGTCTCAGTCACCACCTTGGGGTTAATCGTGAGAGTAAAGGAAATATATGCCGCAGTCCCTACCGCAGGGGATACCCAGTAAAAGTTGATTTCCCTTTACTATTAAACAAAACACTCACACTGCAAAACTAATGAAACGAAACGCTCGTCGAAACAACACACTCCAGGTTTTCTGGGCCGTCCTCATCCTCAAGGCGCGAACACCTTCCCGGCTGAGCGAAATTGAATGAACCAAACCGGAAACGGAAGTTGCGAGCCGCGTATTTACCCTGTGCTGTGCGCACGAGTTGCTCCGTTAGCTGCCGAAACTGGACAAACAGTCGGCGCGGCCTATGGAATCCGACCGTGGCTCTAGGCAGGATCCAGCCCACCACCACTCGCCCACTCCGCTCATCTCCTAGTGCGGCTGCGCAGCGGAGGGAAATGAGCCCTTATCGCCGCCGTAGGCCAAGAGGCCCGGCCGCGCGCTCCTATTGGCTGGGCATGTTTGGCGCCAAAGTGCGAGCGGAGGCGTAGACAGAGGCGACGACAGGAGCGGCGGAGCCCGGAACCTTAGGAACCGAGAGCGGCGGCCGTGAGCTTGGCGGCCGTTTGGCGTGAGAGCGTGCTGTTGACAAGGCCGCCATGTTCTGCGAAAAAGCCCTGGAGCTGGTGCGCGAGCTGCACGGCGCGCCGGAAGGGCAGCTGCCCCCCTTCAATGTGAGCGGAAACGGAGTAGGCGGGGGGATGGGCCGGTAGGGGGCGGGGCCTGAGGACGGGGGCGGGGCTCAGGCGGAGCCGGAGGTGTCGGCTTCCCGCGGTGCCGCTTGCGTCCCCTCCCCGAGATGGCGTTTCTCGCGGTGTCAGCCGCACGTCGGGCGCAAACACTGGGAACACTGCAGAACGGCCGAGCAGGGAAAGGACGGCGTCGCGCTCGTGTCGCTAGCGCATTTCCCTCGGGTGTTTCCCGTGTGCAGCTTTATTGCTGTCCCTTGTTGAAGCAAACATTTACGGTTGCCTGGCGACAGGCTAGCGCTTGCCGCGCCCTCGGACGGGCTAGCCGTCCGTCTGTCGGGGCTTCGGAGCGGTTAGGGCAGGCGAGCTTTGCGTGCTGTCAGTTTCCTCATCTGCGAAGTGGGGGCGCTTATGATAGGACCCGGCTCCTGGGGTGGCGAAGGCCCCTGAGCAATGCCCGACACACGCTGGCGGCTAAGGCGGTGTTTGCTGTTAATCCTGCCGCTCCTACTGTTGCTATTATGGTGATTCTATTACTACCGTAGCCAGGGAGCTAAGGAGTTGACCTACATTATCTCTTGTCCTTTGAGGTTTAAACTGTGTTTTCCATTTTTCCAGCTATATACACTCAGATTTTAAGATGAGTGTCGGTGTAGCGCTTCCGGGGGGGCCAGGGCAGGACTTGGAACTTGTGACTCACGCCCTCGTCTGAGGCTTCATTTGGTGCAGCGGCTTTTGTCCCTTGCGTTGCACCGGCGCCTGCCGCTCACAAACTCACCTGCTGCTCAGGTGCCTCGGCAGCCCGAGGAGACTGGCCATTCTTACGCAGCTGAGCTGGGGGCGCCGCGGAAGGCCGAGGAGCATCTGATTGGTCTGAGGGCCCCAGGCCCATGACCTGCCTAAACACTCAAGAGTCATTCATTCCAGAATCCCTCATGGGCAGCTGCTGTGGTCAGCAAATTGAAATAATTGCCCTTTTTATGCAGAACTGGTTATAGCTGACGTTTGGGGGCTTACAGCCTGAAGTGGGAGCACAAAATGATGCAATTTCCGAGCTTTGGCTATTATTTAAAATAGTATCTGCTGATAATGGGGTTGGGGGTGGGGGGTAGTGTCTCCCTGACAGAGCACAGGGCACCTCCTCTATAGGCACAAAGAAGTCAGTACCCTTGTGGTTGGCACATAAATTATGCAAATGAGGTAGATACCCTGTACAATTATGATTGGTGTTCAGAAGAGGGGTAGCAGTTGGCCAAAACTCTCAGGCCTTGGCAACACGGAGGGGCCCCCATGTGGGATTGGGGGGATGGAGGGAGCTCCTGCCATGGCCAGTAGCAACTGTTATGCCCTCTGAGGTCTACCTGCCCCTCCTCCACCATCTCATGCTATACAGCAACTCAGCAGAGAATGTCAAAACTTTGTCTCCAAGTTCCCCATTAGCCCTTTTTCTGCCTAGCAATCTGATCACACTTCTTGTTTGTTTTCCTCTTATTTTTCAAAGCCATAAAATATCCATAACATAAAATATTACTGTTTTATCTATTTTTAAGTGTCCACTTCAGTGGCATTACCTTCACATTGTTATGCAACCATCACCCCAAACAGAAAGCCTGCAACCATTAAGCAATAACATCCCCATCCCCTCTCCCTCCAGCCCCAGGCAACCACCTTTCTACTTTCTGTCTCTATGAATTTTCCTATTCTAGATGACAGACCACTTTGGTTTATGGGTTCATTACTTGGTGGGCATTTGGGTTGTTTCTGCTTTTTGGCTCTTAGGAATAATGCTGCTCTGAGCATTCATGTACAAGCTTTTTTATAAATATGTTTTCAGTTTTCTGGGGTATATACCTAGGAGTGGAATTGCTGGATAATATTGCAAGTCTATGTTTAACTTTATGAGGAACCACCAGACCATTTCCACAGGCCTGGATCATTTTACATCCCTGACTGCAGTGTCTGAGGGTTCTGCTTTCTCCCCGCGCACACCAGCACCGTTACAGCCATCATAGTAGGTGTGAAAGGACTACTGCTTTTGGATAAGATCTGTAGTCAAAGATAAACATATTATAGATAGAATATTGCTATAGACTTGCTGGAGGAGCTAATTGATATATATCTATAATTTTATATGTTCTAGGAAGATGGACTCAGGCAAGTTCTGGAAGAAATGAAAGCTTTATATGAACAGAACCAGTCTGATGTGTAAGTTTTTATAAGATTAATATCTTAAGATGATTTAAGTAATATGATGTTGAAATCAGATAGCCTTACACCAGTTTTTAGATGTAATTTTTTTTTATACTGATTCTCTGTGACCCTGATGATACTGCAGCCATACATGAGAGGAGGGATATGTGTTGATCACTGCCGTATCTGTGGGGACTCAATGTGCGCCCCAGGGTAGATGCTTCGTAAGTGTTGTTTGACTGGTGTGGCTCGCAAGGAACCAAGGTGGACTGAAAAGAGATGAGACATAAGCGGATGAAAAGCCAGTGAAGCGAGATGTGTGGTCTCCACTGCTCATTTTCATTAATGGGCGCCTTTGTGGGTTAAAGGGAGAGCGGGCTCTCTGTAAGCTGCCAGGAGAGCAGCGAGTCCTGTAGTCTGAGTGCAGTTTGCAGGAGCGAGTGCTGCAGGAGGGAGAGTGTGGCGGGTGAGGGGCGCCGGATTCATGGACTCTAGCGGTAAGCATGGGGCTGGGACAGTGGAGAATTAGGGCTGCGTGGTGGACTTCTTAGGTTCCTGCGATTTGGTGAAGAGTATGACACGAGCCCCGACCACTGGCTCGAAGGTGAGGTATTCAGGTCTCAACCTGGAGGGAAGTCTGCCTGTGACATGTGCTGCCGTCTTTAGCCTCGTTAGGTACAACGTTTCATCAGCTTCTTGGACATAGAAATCAGTAGCATGCAGACTGCTATTTTAGGAGCAAAGAGAAATAGCATTTTCTGTCTACTGCATTTAGGGATAGATACAGAAAATCTTTACACATGAACCGAGAAACTGAACACAATAGTTTGTAGTAAATGTAAGGCAAATTCAAATTCCTGAGCTCAAGTTCCCAAGCCATTCATTCAACAAATCTGTATTAGACAATTACTGCTGATAAGTGGCTCTGGCATTTCAGTTGTAAACAATATAATTAAGATTTCTGCCCCCATGGCCTTCACAGTCTATTATGGAAGACAGATGTTAAACACAGACACATCAAATTGGGATGCATGCTATGAAGAAAAACGAGTAGTAGGAGAGGCAATAATGAATCAAAGACATACTTAGACTGAGGAATTGCAAGTTCTCTCCAAGGAGACTTTTCAGCTGAGGCCTGAAGGAGAATCAGGTTTTAGTGAGGCAGTAATTGTGGGCAGAGCATTGTAGGTGGAGGGAACAGCATAAGCAAAGGCCCTGAGTCATGAAAGAGGGCGGGATGCTAAGGAAACCGATACTTTAGGAAGGCAGTGTGGCTAATGCTTAGTAAGCAGGCCAAAGGTGATGTCAGGTGAGATTTTTAAGTGTGCGGCAGGTGGCACATCTGTGTTTTAAAAGATCACCCTGGCTGTGTGGGGACAGCAGACAGAAGGGCTGAGAGGAGAGGGAGGGACGCTGCTCATCCAGGTGACAGGCCCGGGCTAAGGAAAAAGGGGCGGGTCACAGACATTTAGGAGGTGGCGCGACAGGCGTGGCCTGGCAAGGGAATGATCTTCCTGTCTTGCCTCCATCTCCTTCCTTTGTGCCGTTTGCAAATTTATGACCCAAAAATTCTGCACCCCATCCTCCTGGTTTCTTTCTTTGGAGACAATCACTCTTACCAGTTTCTGGTTAAAATGATTCATCAGAAGAAATCTATTCCTTTTTAGTTATGTGTAAATATGTAAATTAAATTTTTAAAGGAAGTCCTTAATAATATTAAGTGCTCTGATGTTAGGTTGAGTGTATTTATTTGTACTATTTCTTTGTAATCCAGATCACATTGGAATCCATATGGGGAATAAATCTGACTTTCCAAGAGGGGCAGATGTATACAGAACATATAAAAAGACATGATGGGATATATATGTTTTCAGGGCCTGGAGCAGACACTGCATGAAGGAACCTTTTCCATATTTTTATGGCTCCTTTTAAAATTCCAAAGTAGATTGTTATTCATTCTGTACATATGGCTTTGTTTTGTGCTTTTCCACTTTTTAAAATTGTGGCAAAATGCACATAACATGAAATTTGCCATCTTAACCATTTTTAAGTATATAGTTCATTGGTATTAAATATATTCATAATGTGCAACCATAATCACCATCCATCCTTAAAACTCGGCATCTTATAATGCTGGAGCTCTATGCCCATTAAACAGTTTCTGGTTTTAAAATGTGACATTTTAAAGAGTTGTACATTTTATAGGATAAAACCAAAAATTTCCCCTTCTCTATGTGAAAAGCACTAAAGCATAGTACATGCACATAGCTGAAGATCAACAAATATTTGTTGGATAAATAAGAGCCATTTTGACTATTTTAACTCACTTTACTATAATGAAGATTTGGAGGTGCCACTGAAATGGAGTTACATGGAATAAAAACATGACACAAGACCGTGACCTCACAAACCACGGCGTCAGTCGGGTTTGTCTTTCATCCCAGCGTGATTAAGGAATTTCAAAAGTGAGCAAACACAGTTTGTCTTTTAGAAAGATAGTGATCAATCCACGCAAAAATGCAAAGTATCAAATGGTTAAATGAAATGTTATTGTCTTAGGCAAGTAAGTTACCTTTTGGGTTTTGACTTTTTTATTTTACATACGAATAAAAGTCTCCGTGTGGAGGCAGGTGCTACTTGTCGGGTTCACCACTAGTCATAAGTGGCGAAGTCGAGCATGAGGCACCTGCCGGTTGGCTTTGAAAATCGTACTTATACCGAAATTCACATATTTGTTCTTTTCGTCTTTAAATGTTCTTACCAGAAATGAAGTGAAGTCAGGCGGGCGAAGCGATCTGATACCAACCATCAAATTCCGGCACTGCTCCTTGCTGAGGAACCGACGCTGCACGGCCGCGTACCTGTAAGCGCGCAGCCTATGCTGGGGGGCGTTTGTGGGGCCCCCTGCCTGACCCCTTCAGATGGGTCTCAGAGGTTTTGAGATTTGTCTCCCCTTTATAAGTGTTCTAAATTCCTTTTCCACTAAAATTTTTTTTATTGTGAAAAGTTGCAGCATTCATAAAACTAGGGAGAATATTGTATATGATGTATATTGTATACATACGATGGAGCCATCATACAGGATTCAACAGTTTTTAACATTATGCTGTATTTCCTTCATCTTGTTTTACTTGTCATACTAAACTGTCGTAGAGCATCGTGGCATTGTACCACGGAATACGTTAGTTCACACCTCTAAGAATAAGGGCCCACTGGGTCCCTCCTCACCTGACCGCTGGGTCATCCTCACGCCTGGAAAAACGGACGGGTTCATGGGATCATTCCCACCCATGTTCGCGCCTTCCCACCGACCCACAGGCGTGTCCTAGCCACTGGTTTGTTTGCCAAATCAGGGGGCCGCCTGCTGCGTTCAGTGGCCGTGAGCCTTGAGTCGCCGGGCCACAGCCACGCCTCGTAGCCCTCGTTATGCTGCCTGACCCTCTCCTGATCCCCTAGGTATGACCGGCTGCTGCGCATTAGGGCCCTCAGGTGGGAGTGTGGGAGTGTCCTGCCCCACGCGGTGCGGTCGCACCTGTCTGCAGAAGAGGTGAGTGAGCTGCTGCGGGGTGTCCGGCTTGGGAAGTGCTGGGCCCCTGGCACTGTGCTGTGATAGTGTTCATGGCGTTTTTCTTTGTTTTTTTTACTTCTGTTTTTGGTCTGTATATATTTAATATGAACTTATGAGAGTGGCAGGAGTAGTTTTAAGCGCTCCAAGGAAAGCTTTCTTAGTACCTAACAAAATAACGGGTCCCATTATGTTAATACTAGTAATTCATCAGGATTAAAACACTGGCATTACTGTTTTGGGATTTTCCATGAAATGTCTGTGTGTGTGTGTGTGTGTGTGTCTGCGTGTACACATACCTTGGGCAAGTAACGTGACCTCTCTGTACCTAAATTCCCTCATTTACAAGATGAGGATTGTAGTGCTTACCTACTACAGGTCTGCGATGGCTTGTGGCACTAGCTGCTAGCATCAGACCAAACTTCACAGGTCACAGCCGCCCGCCTCAGATGCCAGCTGCAAGTGTGGGATTCCCAGGGCCCCCTCCCCTCTGGCCACATGACTGCAATCTGTAGCCCCCCACTTTCCTCCAGGTTTGAGGCTTTGAGCCTCTGGATTGCAGTGTGACCTCTGGAGAGGGGAGGGGAGGGGAGCAAGAGGCTGAGCTCAGTCATGGCCAGTGATTCAGCAGACATGCCCGTGTGATGAGGCCCTCATAAAAACTGGACACCAGAGCATCACTGGTCCATAATAGTGTGTGTGTGGTTACACATCATTGTGCCAGAGGGGCGATGTGTTGTGACGCCATGATTCCTCAGGGGGAGGACACCAGAGGCTTCACGTCCGGGGCCCTCCCAGACGTCGCCTGTGTGTTGCCCTTTGGACGGCTCTGATCTGTGTGCCCTTCCTTGTAGGGAAACTGATTGTCAGTGTGGTGCTTTCCCGAGTTCTCTGAGTCATTCTGGTGATGGTTGAACCTGAGGGTGCATGTGCGTGCACGCACACACGTGCACACACACACACACTCACACACACACACACACACACACACACACACACTTTCCTAAGAAGGGTATGAAGGTGTTTTTCTCTGTAGTCTTTCAGGAGCTGCAGTTTACCTTTCCCAGGAAGCTGCAGTACCATGATTGGTTCTGTGACCAATGTAAGAGCAGAATTGCCTTCTGAAGAGGGATGTTGAGAGGTTCTCCACTGCTCTGCGCCTCTGCCACTTTTGTGTCGATCTTATCTGGATCTTGGCTGGGAGCTTTCTCTCCTGTTCTCTTGGACTGTTTGTCCTTTTGCACCAGTTCTGCACTGTTTCAATTATTGTAACTATAAGAAGTCTTGAACACTCCTAGGAATTTACCCTAAGAATACAGGAGCCCAGTTTCAAAAAGACACATGCACCCCTATGTTTATCGCAGCACTATTTACAGTAGCCAAGAAATGGAAGCGACCTAAGTGTCCATCAGTAGATGAATGGATAAAGAAGATGTGACATACAACTCAGTGTTTTTTAATATATTCACAGAGTTGTGCTTCCATTACCACCATCTCACTCCAGGATCTTTTCATTACCCACAAAAGAAACCCTGAGCCATTATCAGTTACTCAGTATTCTCTCCCCGTCTTCCAGCCCTAGAGATCACCCATCTGCTTTGTTTCTATAAATTTGCCTGTTAATGGATTTTTCATGTAAGTGGAATTATGCAGTATGTAACCTCTGAGTCTTTCACTTAACGTGTAAGGTTCATCCGTATGGGAACACATATCAGAACTTCATTCTGATTTATAGCTGAATAATCCATTGTATGGATTTTAAGAATAATCTATAACTTATCCATTTATCCATTAATGGACATTTGGGTGTTTTTCTCAATAATGTTTTACAGAATTCAGAAAAACGTTAGTGCAGTTTGAGGAGCTCATAGTTTTGAAATGGTGTATTTTTCATGGTTCTGTTTCTGGTGGGAAGCTCCTCAGGTCTGTGATTACTATGCTGGGATGTAACCTCTGCAGGAACAGACCCTCGTTCGCTCTGTTAGATGTCCCATCCTGAGTACCCAGACCAGTGCCCGGCTCACAGCAGGCACTCGGTCCCCACAGCTGGAGCAAGTGAGCGGCACAGGGATGACCCGTGTGGGGGCACTGGTTTGGGAAGGCTGAGCACACGTGCTATGCGGGGTTCCCTCTGCCTCTGTCAAATGGCCGTGTCTACACCTGCAGATGGAGTGGTTCAATCACTATAAAAAGTCCCTTGCAACTTACATGAGGTCCTTGGGAGGAGATGATGGTTTGGATATCACACAGGATATGAAACCTCCAAAGAGCCTATATATAGAAGTAAGTATGCCTTTTAAATGGATTTTCCTTTAATGCATGAATTGTGCTTTTTTTCTAAGAGGAGGGAGGTATATAAATATATAGTACCTTATATTAAAACAGAAACGTAAACCCTAAACAGAAATTTTGTTAATGGGGGGAAGGTGGGAATAAAGTAAAATAGCTGAAATTTTCTGAATTGTCCTGTCTTAACAGTTTTAACTTGGGAACCATGTAAATATTTAACATAACAGTAAAATAAAATTAAATCAAAGTAGAAAACCAACCCACAAATTCTAAAAGCAAAGCGAAACAAATGACCCCTAAATTATTTGGAACACATAAATTGGATGTTCTAAGGATGTAGAGAATTACAAAGAAATCTTAATTTGTTCTAGTAATCATATAATTACTAGTAATATTGTTAGTTATTCTGAAAGTTATAAATATTGAAGAATTGACCAAAAAAGTAATGGCCCTAGGAACCAAGATTTTCAAAATAAGAGAAAAGAGATTCAGATATTAAAAAGAAAAAGTTAAATGAAAATCCTATATTCCAAAGCTTGATTCTGACATGTCAGCATGGATTCATGTTGAATCATCTTTTTTAAAAGTATCTCTGTACATCTGCACAGAAGAGGCCCAGAATCAGTGACTAACCCCGGAGTCTGGGTATTCTGGAGTCGGAATGCCACCTGCCACTGAAGAAACCAGGACTCCTTGAAAACAGTGGGCCATTCCAGGTCACAGATAAGGAATGTTAAGCTTGAGCCTGGGACGCCTGATCTTTGTACCAAGAACTACAGTGGGTCAGGGGGGGCTAAAAAGGCTCAGGAGCTGATTGGAAGGGGCCTCACTTTACAGACTGTTTGAGCATCAGAATGATCGACTGCAGCGAATTGTATCGCATCACCTAGCAGCACGGGTGCACACTGACACCAAGCAACGATGCTGATCATTTAAAAAATAAGACCTCTTCGGGTCCTCTTGGGGAATGTGAGAAATGCAACTCAGTTTAAAAAGTGGTAATAAAAGAATGGAGTCAAGCACTTACCTGCCTTTACAATACACATTCATCTCAGGGCAGCCAGATTGTTCACAAGGGAAATTTCTTTTTTATGGAAGATTTCCAGCTAATAAATGCAGCAGGAATAAAAGGACTAAATGCCATTTTGTAGCCAAAAGGCACAGAGCTACGAAAACCATTATGAGAGGGTTATGGGAGACCGTGATACTAGGTGGATGTGGCTGGGAATGGATGACGCCTGGACCCGCTGATCAGTGCGACGTTCAGAAAGGCACAGCGAGCCATTCTGTGCCGGGTGCGGTCTGGCAACAGGGAGTGCATAAACCGCTCGCCAGAAAATCAGATCTGATCTGCTCCAGCCTCTAGACCTAACTTCCAATCCGTAGGAAATTCAGGGACAAAGGAACATGCTAAATGAGCCCACAGGAATCCACAAAAGCTGTTTGTGTGAAACTACCAAACACACTGCCCAGTTTCTTTGACAAATAAATTGCCGAGGGGCACGAGGAAGAAAAGGGGGAGACCCCAGAGATTACAGGGGGCTCAGAGACGTCTCAGAGATGTGTGGTGTGCGACCCTTGATGGATTCTCATTTGACCATAGCAGCTTTAAAAAGAAATTCATGAGACGGGCGGGGACGTTTGGATATTAACCGGATATTTCATGATATACTAAGAATTATTGATTAATAAGATGTGATAATGACAGTGAGATTATGTTTTTAAAAAATAATCTTACTTTGTAGAAATAGATACTAAAGTATTCATACATGAAATGAAACGGTATCTAGGATTTGCTTCAAAATAAGCCACAAGTGGGTGAGGGAACAAGATGGGCCATATGCTGATAATTGTCGGAGCTGGCTGAGCTCCATTATATACATGAGCTTCTTACTTTTGAAAGTGTTAGACATTTTCCATAATAAAAGTGTTTAAGAAGCAAAAAGGTGGTAGTGGTAGAAATATCATTCTAAAATGATATTTCTCGAACCAAATTAAAGTACCTTTGGGAGTCATGGTGAGATTCCAGAGGAATCAGGATGTGGACTTACCTACCTGGGAAAAGTGAAGACTAAAACTCGCTGCAGGAGTTGGCTTTGTGGTGTTTACGAGAGTAACCCAGCCCTGGGTTCCCACAGGAGATGACACCTGTCCCCCTGGTCTCCTCTGGCAGCACGGGGAGCTGTCACTGTGGCCTCCCCTCCGGGGACACCGTTGACCCTTCCTCTTCTGTTATCAGAAGGCTGCCCCAGCAGGAGGCCGCAGCGCTTCCTCCCCCGGGCACTGCCAGCGCTCCTGGGAGAGAGCCTCGGTACCTGAGGAGGGCGAAAGTATCTCTTTAAACATCTTTAAACAGTTGCCCTTGCCTGTGTCCTGGTCTCAGATACTGGTATTTCATGGGGGGATTCCAAGGGGCGGGCTGGAGTGGATCCCAGACATTTTCTTCTCTTTGTGGATACGTATTTCAACGGCTTGATTCCTCAGGACTCGCAGAGTGGAAAGAATGCAGGGACGCCAGCCCCCTTCAGCAGCTCCCTGGGTCCTTGCTGTCAGCCGCCGACACACACATACACTCGGAGGCCATTACAGTTCCTCCTCCCCACAAAACGGCACCCGGAACCACTGGCCCCCACAGGGAAGGAGCACGAGGCGTGGGTGGGCAGAGAAGAAACAGCCGAGTGCTTTACTGAGGGAATTTATATAATCTCCGTACACTCCACAGTCACTCTGTGTTAGCACGTAATTTAGATAAATCATCAGGTTTTCCTTTCAGGTGCGCTGTCTGAAAGACTATGGAGAATTTGAAGTTGAAGATGGTACTTCAGTCCTATTAAAAAAAAATAGCCAGGTATTTCTTAAGATTCTTTCAATCTTGTAAGTGTTGAATGATGGAAACGTTGGAATCAGTAGCAAAATTAATATCAGCTTGTGATGACCATTTGTGTTACATGCATTGTTTAATATGAGACACCCTGTTTTGTCCTTTTTCTAGACACAAAAAACTTGAAGCAAATGTTCCATGTACTAAGGAAATTAATTAAAATTAATTTACTAGGTCATTGCTAATAGTTAACACTAAGCATTTTCCTGGGATATTATCACTCTGGGCCTTCTAGTTACATGAGCTTATTGGAGTTCAAGAGCTGCTAACTTACTGGATTTAGCTCCTTTGAATTTATTAAAAAGGTGCTCAGCACTCACTTTCAGCTTGTACTTCACCTTTTAAACCTTAGCAAACAGTGATAGGGGGAAAAAATTTCTAAGTACTTAATATATAAGCAACAGAATTTAATAAGACTGAGTTTGTAATTAAAATTTTTTCCTTACGAAGTATCTTAGTATATTGTTTTCTTAGAAATCTTCAAGTTCACATTAGATGGATTCATATTAGCTAGATTTACTTTTATCCTTCCTCAATTTCTGTAGACACATCAGGGTGGGAAGAAAGATGACCTTTAATACAAACCACTCTCTTTGGCGCAGTCCTGTCAGCCAGTGAAGAGTTCATGACCGAAGTCCTAGAACCTGGTGATGTTTGTGCCTGGGGCAAAGAGGGCTTCAGGTCTTGTGGTTCCTGTTTCCGGAGAGGGCGACTTGATCTCTTATTTCACTAGTCCACTTGGAGCTTTAAATACTGTAGTTTCCTAAAACAAAGGTTGAGCATTTTAAAGACACGTTTTCAGGATATCCTAAAATCGCTGGTGGTTAAGGCAAACTTTTCCCTGGCAGTGGCACACGCGTCAGAAGCCAAACTGATGAGTGTTCTCCTGGAAATCTTCATTTCTGGACGGCCCCATGTGAAGCTTTGGTTCACGTGAACAGAGTCACCCCTGTAAAGCAATAAGTGAGAAAACTGTCCCAAACACTGTGGTCGAATTTCTTTCTCAGGCTTTACGGCTGGCCTTCCCACCCAGGGTGCCGAGGCAGGACTCCTCGGCCGGGGCACTGCGGCGGGTGCCGGGCCACCGTGCCCACTCCATCTGCTCCTGTGCTGGGTGGTTGTCACTCATGTGAACTGTGCAAACGCCTTCCTCCCAAGATGCTTTTCACTCTGTCTGTCAGTATTGCCCCCCAACCTTCAACTAGAAAAACGGAAAACCATCAAAAAATATAATCTACTATAGTTGATATTGAAGGTCTTCTAGAATGAGCGCATATAAAGTCAGCTTTCCATAGGATCCGAGGTACAGACCACCCTCATGATGTGCGGCGTTGGCGGGGAGCATCTTGGCAGGCATTCTTTCGTACTTGCCAGCCCAGCGAGCATCTTTCTATTTGTCCAGAAGTCCGAAACCCCTTTCTCAGTAGACGTTGGAATGACTCAAATGTGCACATCAGTAGGGCTTTTTCCCCTTTTCATTCCTAAGTGTTCTAAAAATTCATATAACAAGTTAGGCCAAAGTCCTTGGCCGCCGTTTCCCATGACTGGCTTGGAGGCCTGCAGGCACGGCTCACCTCAGGCCTTCCCCGCGCTGCCGCTGAGGCTCCCTTCTGCCCCTGGGAGAAGCCGAGGCCTCCACAGCCGCTGCACCCTGACGTCTCTTGGCTCTTACCACATGTCTGTCCTTTGGTCACTTGGGAGCCTGGACAGTCGTCCTGCCCTGCTTCCTGCACCCCTCGCTCCGGTTTAGCCATGTTCACCTCCGTTCTAAGCCCATGTTTTGAGGGGGATCCTCACCTCACACGGAGCGGCATCCTCTCAGCTAGTTGTGCACTAGCCGCGTGCCAGCAGCTCACCCAGCCTGTGAACACCCGTGCCCCGGGCCACAACTGCGGATCCTGGTGATGGGAGGGAGGTTGCCACTGTTGTTGTTAGAAGGGTAAATGTGGGGACTCCAGTCCTAGAAAAGATTTCACGGAGAGAGAAGACACTCCCTCCACGGGCCTTCCTGTTGAGTCTCGTCCGCTTGTAACCAGTGCCCCTAATTCCGCCTGCCTCGGTTTTCTGTGCATAAACTCAGGGACGTAAACACTAAGGGCAACACCTACTAGAAGTCAGAAGTCTTTAAATTTTACTTTAGCAAACAATGGATTTGTTTATACAAGTCATTAAATTTAGAACAATTCTAAGTGGCATCAATTTTAGTTGATTAAAATAGCAAATATTTGAAAGTTTAGCTTTTAACTACTTAGCTGTTTGAGAAACATATCAGTTACTGCTTTTTAATGCTGCAAAATGCAATTTCAGATCATGTTCTAATCATCTCTCTTCCTCTCCCCACTCTTCTCCCCCAGCACTTTTTGCCTCGGTGGAAGTGTGAGCAGCTGATCAGACAGGGCGTCCTGGAGCACGTGCTCTCGTGACCCCAGCCGGGCACTGCCAGGCTTCCCCACGGCCGGGCTGGGCCACATGCAGGAGCCTCTACACCCCCTGCCCTCCGGGTACAGACATTCTTCAGGATGACCAGGACCATGTGGCTAAGCAGTATGGTTTTTCTGTTGTGCAGGATTCGTCCCTTCTGTGAAAAGCTGTATCTATAATCTTGACATTCCTACCATTACTACAATGTATTTTTTTGTTAATGAAGGTAAACATTTGAATCTCTTAAACAATGAGAAGATTTCATTTGGCTGTACTGGGGGAAGGCAGGTCCCTGTGCGTCGCGTATTGTCTGTCTGTCTGTGCGCCGTGTAGGCCAGGGAGCTGAATTTCTGGAGAACATGCTTCCACACGTGAGGAGGTAGAGATGCCGGTCTGTAAAATCCCAGCATGTTTCATGTTTCACGACATACTGTCTTACCGTCTGGCCGTTTGGGAAGGAAGAAAGGCAGGACACAGTGGATCTGTCCTTTTCCAACAGTGGCGGCTGGTCCGGCCTGTGCCTGCCTGCGAGCTTGTGGCGTGAGTGCCAGCATCCCCACTTGGAAAAGGAAACAGAGATTGGGGCTGGAAAAGGAACTTTGAGCAGCTGTCCCTGGAGTCAGCTTGACAGGGGAGGCGCTTGGAGAGCCGGCCGGCCAAGTGGAGGGCAGCCTCTGTTACCCGACGGATTCTGAGTGGCAGGAGCAGGAGAGGCCCAGAGGGGTCCAGCCTGGCGGTCAGTGGCCTTTCCCCCAGTCCCCGCCACAGCCAGCCTAGTAACCTGAGAGATTTAAAAGTCCAGATACGCCAGTCGCTAGCACATATTATATGTGGTTTCATTTTTATAAAGTAGAATGTTTCTGGCCAAAATTAAATTTTTAAAAAATCAAAAGTTATGAATCACAGAACCCAAGAATGGACTAACAGTGACCAAAGGGAAAGGGACCGGGGAGGACGGGTGGGAGGGGATGGATAAGGGCGGGGAAAAGAAAGGAGGCATTACGATTAGCATGTGTAGTGTGTGGGGGGCACGGGGAGGGCTGCGCAACACAGAGCAGACAAGTAGTGAGTCTACAGCATCTTGCTACACTGATGGACAGTGACTGTGATGGGGTGTGGGGGGGGCACTTGATGATGGGGGGAGTCTAGTAACCATAATGTTCCTCATGTAATTGTAGATTAATGATAACAAAAAAAAATCAAGTTAGAGAGAGGCTTCACCTAGATGTGGATCTGTATGTTTCCATAATACACCTATAGGTCAGTAGGCTGCCCTTTGCAGATTATTTTCATTATCTTTCCCCCATTTTTGTAGACAGATCAGATTTCCATCTGAATCTCCACTGATGTGAACAGTAAGGGAAGTCTCCCTAGTGAGCGGGATGGATGTCGGCTTTCTAACTGGGTCTGTAGTCCCCTCCTTCCCCCACATCCTCCTCCCAGAACGCGTGGGGCCACGCCGCCCTGCTCGGGGGGTCAACAGGCTTTTCCTGTATCTTAGACTTGTGGGCTACGCCATCTCCTACGCTGCTCGATGTCGCCGTCGCAGCACGAAAGCAGGTGTGGACAGCAGACATGAAAGGGTGTGGCGTGCCCACCAGACTAGCCGCAGACAGACCAGGGGCCGGGCTGGCACGCGGCATGGCCCTGTTCTGTTCCTTCTTCTGTGACTGGCGCAGTCCCTTTGTTCTGCTTACTCTGGGTTGAATTTGCTCTTCTTTTTCTAGCTATTTAAGGTGGAAGCTGCAGCTGCTGACTCAAGAACTTTCTTTCCTAACAGGCATTTAGTGCTGTGGATTCTCCCAAGTAGTGCTTCAGCATTTTGATGTGTTTTCATTTCCATTCAGTTAAAAATATTTTCTACTTTCCCTTTTGTTTTCTTATTTGCTCACACGTTATTCAGCAGTGAGTTGAGTTACCAAATAGTTGGGGATTTTCCAGATGTCATTCTAGTCTCGATTTCTATTCTGTTGTGGTCAGACAACATACTTTGCAGGACTTAAATCCTAATTTTTTGAAACTTATCCAGAATATGGTCTATCTTGTAAATGTTCTGCTGTTGTCGGATGCCGGGCTTCATAAACATCGTTTGGTTGAAGGTCTGCTAGACTAGACTAGTCTCCGTGCAACCCGAGTCCCACCAGCAGCCCAGTGAATCAAGGCGTGTACCCCTCAGTACGTTCTGACGGATGTATACACCCACGTAACCCAAACTATACTGAGACCCAGTAACTGGTAGAACTAGTCCCCATTCGTTGCTCTTATGTTTTTAGAGTTTTCAGGGTTATTGTATTTATCTAGTTGTGCACAGAAACTTTAGAGCCATCTGATTCTGAGACAAGAGATTGATCAGGGCAAGGAACACCCATTTATACTTTTTTGGGGAATATATTACATTAATCAGTTAATTTAGAAGAGCCAGCTCGTGGTGTTGAGCCTCCCTGTGTGAAAGCCACCTTCCCACCTCCTGTAGCCTCCTGTGTCTTTCCACAGAGTGCTGAGGTCCTTCCCACCGATCACGTGCAGTGAATGTGCCACGGAGGCCACAGACGCAGGCGCTCTGCAGGGTGGTTCTCCAGGAGGGGGGAGGTGGCCAGGTGCACAGAACCTTATCTAAAATGTTGTAGCAGAAGGTTTTCAGTACATCCAGTTGGTGGGCACAGGAGCATCTCTTACAAAACTATTTTTCTGTACATTTGAATTATTTTACAATAAAACTCAGAAGCCAATTTTAATAGAAAAGCTAATCGCAGGTACAGTGACTTCATATTACAGTAGTTTTTTCTGAGGAAGCAAACAACCATAATTTATGTATATTTTGGATATAAAACTATATATATGTATTTCTTTTTTACTTCTAATACAATTTTCAGTGTGATGACATTCTAATGAGGAAATGATTGCATTTGCAATAAATACCATCCCTGAGTCCACAGACCTAAAACAAACACTGAGCATCTTCCGGGATAGACCAGTGCCTGACGCGGCGCCTCCCGCTCCGCCCCCGGAAAGCTGAAGGTCACGACAAGCGAGGCCTTGCTGGGAGGTCTGCGCGGGCACTCCGCCCAGAGCAGTGCCAGCAGGATGCGGCAGCGCCGAGCCCTGGCGTGGCATTCTCATCTCTCCAGCCAAGGCCGAAAACTTGGCGCTGAAGCTGTGACACCGCTCCTCTCAGGGGCTCCTTGCTGAGGGCACCCAGAATCCTTCACCAGCGAGATGCACAGCTGGGGCTCTTACCTGGAAACCACCCAGGGCCCCCCGGCAAACGCGGCCTCTCCCAACACAGCTGTTGCCCCAGCGTCTGGCATGAAGGAGACATTCACCAAGCGTGTGTGGTGTGAGCGAAGAATCACCATCGTGTGTCCAGGCTGCACGGCGGTGAGCCTCAGAAGATCGTGATGTCGCAGGGCTTAACTCTACAAGACGCTCTTTCAAAATGAACTCCCGGAAAACAAGCATGTTCACACCGAGAGGGAGGCCAAGGCCATCTTACCGACGAGTGTGTTGAGGGCTCTGACCTTCTCTTCCAGGACCCGGGTCTCCTTCTGGGCGCCATGTAGCTTCTCCTCGGCGGCCTGGAGCGCCCTCATCAGGCCAGCGTTCTCCACGTAGAGGCCCTTCAGCAGCAGGTCGGATTCCGTGTTCTTGTCAGGCTGGAGGGGGAGAAGCCACGGCTCTGTGGGCCTGCAGGGCCCTACCCGCCCCACCGGCCCGCCTCCACGGGGCTGCGACCACAGCTCGGGTTCCCACAGCCTGACCGACATCAGATGTGAGGACAGGTTTGTTACCCTGGCATGAGACAGGAAGTTGGAATCTCCTAAAATTTGTGACAGAAAATATGTTGGACACTGTGAGAATCAATTTTACTGTGAAACGAAGACATAAAAAGACCCAAACCTAAAGGCCCCAAAAAGGACTGTTCCTGTAAAACAAGGGAATTTCTAAGAGCACCAAAAATGTTGGTTCTCGCCATGCCCTGCAGGCCAGTGCCCTGCCAAGGACACAGCAGACACATCCTAGTGCCAGGCCTGCAGCCAGGCGGGCACAAGGCCACTGTAGTCACCAGCCCTTTTCAAGACACGAAGGCACTAGAGTCCCGGCCATGGCTTCCTAAGCCAGGCCGGCCTGAGCCCCATCCACTTAAGCAGTCGCTGGCGTCCTGTGGGCCTGGCATTGCCAGCCCAGGCCCTGGTGCGTGGAGCACGTGCTCCAGTGGCAGGGGATGGCCTGGAAGCAGTTCGTGTGTCACATGCTGAGATGCTAAGAGAAGATGCAGGCAGGGCAAGCATCTGAGAGGACTGCTCCTATTTCGGCCGGGCTGGGGGTGGGGGACACTTGAACAGAGGACCGAACAAGCCCAGGAACAAGTCCGAGTCTGTCTGGCCGGACATTCCAGGTGGAGGGAAGAGGGAGTGCAAAGGCCCAGCAGCAGGTGCCCACGGGAGCCACAGGGTCAGCAGCGGGCGTGGCCGAGGGCAGGTGCGGCGTCAGGCGAGAAGCCAAGGCTGGACCCTGTAGAGCGTGGGAGGCCACCTCCGCTCTGCCTTCCATTCTGCGGGCCCCGGGCAGAGGACAGCTGCCCTGCCGTGAAGGCGGAGGAGGGAGGGGGCCGCCTAGGACGGCAGCACCTCGGTCAGCACCTGCCCGGGACTGAGGTGATGTGGACACCTCAGACATACACCTTAAAACTCCCAAAGGAAAATAGACACAGGGTGCACACACAGTGTAGGGTATCTGTTCAGTCAGATCGGCTCTCCGTTGATTGCTTATAATTGTTGATCTTATAAGAAACGTGCAGTCAGATTCTCAAAACGAAGCCGAGACAGAGCCCAGACCAGTGGTGCCCGAGGGACACGGCTCCACTGGGCTCTGGGCCAAGGCGGCGTCTTCCTGGATCGGCTCTCTGAACTCCCGCCAAGGGGCAGGCGCGTCCAGTGGGAGGCTGTGGGCGTGGGGACGGCACAGCCCACCCTTACCTGCTGCTTCAGCTCAGCCACCTTCCCCTGCAGAAGCATTTCCATGTTCTTCAGAATCCCGCCCGCCTCTTCCGCGCGCTCATCTGTGTCTTCAGGCCGCTCTTCGAGTTCTTCCTGCCACAAGAAAAGGGTGCACACCAGTACTTTAGAGTCCGAAAAGAATCATCTCAGACTCACTTCAGGACGGAATGAGCCAAAAGGCGTGCGTCTGGTGTCCGGACGACCTTCCGTCCGCACAGAGTGACAGGCGCGAGAGGCGTCCCGAGCTCCAGTGCTCATTCCCCCCTGCTCACGGAGGGCCGGCCTAGCGGGGTCATCACCACCGGCTCCACAGGGAGTGTCCCCAGATGCGCTAGGACGTCCAAGGGGGTTCTGATGGAATTTCTTGGTCAAGTCGTTCACAGCTTGACTTCTGCCTGCACTTCTGCGTGACGCGGAAAGACTGTTCTTCATTAGGATTCATGCTTTCCAGACATCAGGTTTTTACCCACGTTCTGTCTTGCTCCAATTTCTTCCTCAGAAGGGCACTCCCCGCCCTCTGATTCCTGGTCCCCACACCCCTCCTGCCCTGGACTTTTCATGTCATGGACTACGTTGTGACACTTTGAGACTGAGTTGTTTTCTCAGCCTTTTAAATTAAACACATAGTGTGCACACAGGCAGACTCTTCAAGCCCCTGGGAGGTGGGAGGTGCCCCCTCAGATGCCTCACATGGATGCTTTGAGGTGGGTACCACTCATCTCCCAAGTGTACAGACGAGGAAACGAGCACAGGGAGGCTAAGAAACTGGCCTGAGATCACTCAGCCGGGGCGGGGTGGAGGGGATCCCAGTCTCTGCCATCCATGCTCCGACCCAACATCCTGCTGCCCTTTAAGGCAGCAACTGGTTCTACCTGAGACGTGAGTGTAGCGCCTGGCACACACCCAGGCTCCCCGGGGCTGGGCTGCGACCTTGCCGACCTCGTGTCCTCCCGCCCTGCTTCCCCTGATCCCAGCACGGCCACCTGCCCAGCCACCCCAGGGCTCGCTGTGTGCCCCGTGCATGCCCCCGCCCCTGGTAGGAGGCAGCCCCAGGCAGGCTTGGAGCTTTGCCTTGTGTTTCTATGTCCCCAGTGCCTGCCTGGATCAACGTGCACCAATAAATGCTGCGGCCTGTGTGCCGGGGAGCCGGCACAGTGGGTTCAGATTCTTTTAAAATCAGATGTATCATTTGGAAACCATGGGTAATGGTGTAAACATCCAGTTTCTGGCTTTTCTTTGAAGTCAGGAGGATTGGCATGCAGGGGCGTGCACTCCCATAGGCCTCACAGGTGGGACCCTCTCCCTGGGCCTCACTCACAGACCCAACATCACATTTCGGGCCCCGTGAGCTGTAGGCGGGGGGCATTTATTGACTTCAGTCCTGGGCCTGGTAAGTGCCTGACCAGCTGGGTGGAGCCCGCCTGCTAACCCCTCTGGCCGGACCAGCCCTGGTAGGGCTCTGCAGCATGCACCGCACTGGCTCTGCGGCTGGGGCCTGGCCCGGGCCTCCACGTTCACCCACCTGGTCCTGGCGTTCATCACAGGTGCCTCTCCGCTGCATCTGTGACAGCTTCAGGCTCTGACATTCCTGATTCACATGTTTAAGTTCAAGTTCTAGTTTGTGGATTTGGTCACCCTGTTTTAAAAACATCAGTTTCACAAGTACAGAATTAGCACACATTAAATGCACAAACTTCAGAAAATTACAGAAAAGCAAAGAGCACAAACTTTCAGTTCCCCGTGACCCATGGCCTGAGGCCCACACCTGACTCCGTGCTGGGCTCTGCCAGCCCTTCCCACACGTTTGCACACTCCTGTGAGGATGCTGGCGCCATCACTGCCTGGAGCGCCTCTCCATGATGTTAAATGTTGGAAAATGGTCTTTAATGGCTGCACTGTAATGTGCTGGCTCATTCAGGACGGTTGTGATTCAAGCTGACTCCAATTCTGTTTTGCTATCATAAATACCCTAGCAATGAAAATGCGTCCAGCCCAGTCTTTCCACGATGCCCAGGTAAATTCCCTTATGCAGACTTATGAAGTCAGAGCATCCTGACATCCTTGAGACTCTTGATACGTATTTCGCCAAGTCTCCTCCAGAAAGGTCGTATGATTTACTCTTTCACTAGGATTTAATCTCTTCTGCTGCTTTTTCTAGATGCCAGGGATTTGCAAAAGCCCCCAAAGTCCACGTGTTTGCCAGGGCATCTGAGAAGCCCCGAGCTGTCCCCTCCAGAGCAGTGGGCTGTTCCCGATGCGTGTCGGGCTGCCTCTCCCCGCCCTGCCCCTCTGGGTGCTCACCTGCAGCTCCTCCTGGCGCCCGGCCTCCTCCAGGCGCCGGGATAACAGCTGAATGGTGACGAGGCTCTCCTGGTTCCGGGCCTGGCAGGTGGAGGCCTCCCCTTCTAGCTGAAGGACTCTGCCATTGAGCTGGGACAGTTCGTCCTTGCATCTCTGACTCTAGAGCAAAAAAGGTTAAAATACAGATGGAAAGGTTATCTTTTTAAACTAGCAGCTCAACTCAGATCATTCCAGTGTTTCACAGCCAAGGATGGTTCTGTTCCCAGGGAACTCTGTTAATGTCCGGAGGTGTCCCTGCTGACCCCACCCTGGGTGGGGGGAGCGCTGCCACTGACACCCGGAGGTGGCGGCCTCAGCGTCCACACACACACCCACCCGGCCCCGCAGCCACACTGCCACAGACGGGAAGCCTCGCTCCGTTCCCCGGGAAATGATGCGTGACCACGGAGGAGGTGATGCTGTGAATGTCCAAAACACCGCTCTCACGGCCTTTTATGCTTTTCCCGTCTCTCCCATGGTTCTTCCAGTATTTAAGCAGTTTGAAGGGGAAAACCCTAATTGAATGAGAAGTATTGGCCCTCTTCAGAGCTGCCCTGCTCTTTACCATTAGGCGCATAAGCCTAGCTTTTGGCAGGGCAGGTGCTGCCCAAACCACGTACTTTGCTAACGCTCAGCAGCCCGCTGGGCAGGGCCGCGGCCTCACCCCGGGAACTCCCGGACGGCCGCCAGGGAAGCCACACTCGCACTCCTTCGCCCTCCTCGGCCGTCCGACCCCCAGGCCGGGGCCGGCAGCTCCCGGGAACCCCCAGCACTGGCCTCTGAACCAGCTTCTGGTGCCATGGGAACCCTCCCCAGGGTGCTCGCCGGTTGACTTTTTGTGTTTGAGGGTTTGAGAAACGTGACAGAACCCTTGAAGCTGTTTCCTCTCAGCTCGCGGCAGCTGGTGGGTCCGTGCGTTTTCCTCGTGACGTTTCTCTCGTCTGAGCTGTACATGGACTGTCCCCGGGCCCCTCCCTTCGTCTCGGGACCGAGGCTGCAGGGGTGTTGCCACCCACAGCGGCTCGTGGTGGCCCATCCGCTATGGAGCTCTCATGTGCATCGCATTTTACTGTGAAAATTAAGACTCTTCCAATATCGACGCACCTTCACCTTGTCCTCTGAGCACAGCCTTGAATTCACGAGCAGCCAGAAGTGGATTCCCCACCATCCCCTGGGGTGAACCCAAGAATTGACTGTGTTCCATTCATCTTTACTATTTGGTCTCTGGAAATATTTCCAAACTTTCAGGACACGGCCACAGAGGTCCACGTGCCCTGCCCGCACTCCGTTACCAGGCTCAGAGGCCCAACCGGCCTGCGGGCGCCCTGCCACCCTGGCTGGGCAGCGCCCTACCTGGAGCTCGCCTGGGCCTCGCTGAGTCCAGAATGTCTACACGGCCTTCATCTTGTACGACGCTGACATTTTTGACAAATAGGGCCCCTCGCCACCTCCCCCGTTTAACGGTCCCTCTTTGGGGTCTGTGTGATGCTCCGAGATTCGGGCATGTGCTCCTCAGGGCATCACACTGGGAGGTGTGGGACGCCACCTGTCTCGGTGTGTGTGGCCATCGCCTGGGTTTTTCCATGTAAGTCCAAGTGAGATGTTAGTAGCCATCTCCCAAGCACATTTTAAGACAAATGGATACTTATGCTGAATATGTTCACTCTTAATCTGATCAGGCCTTTAGCCCTCACTTCCAGCTTACAGGGAAAACGGGACAGAGGACTAGACTGGACGACGCCATCAGGAGACAGCGGGACGTCCAGGTTGCAGGAGGCAACCACCAGCTCTCCTCAGAACGTCAGTGTTGGGAGAAGCAGGTGTTCAGATTGGAAACACTGACGGCCGGCCGCGTCCTCCCAGCAGGCTGGCTGCATCCCCAGCCCACACGCCCTCTGCCACGCGTCCACCAGCAGGGCCTCTGCCCGCCCTGGGGCTCTGCAGTCTCGTGGGGCTGACCCGGAGCGACTTCTCAGGCCTCCCACCTGGCCTCCCAAGCACCCACTGTGTGTGCCCCCTCGATGGCCTCCTCCAGGCGCCCCACCCCGCGGAGAGGCGCCCCCAGGTGATCCCAGCCCCACCACCTTGGGCCCCAGCTGTCCTGCCTTCCCAGCCAAGGCTCCCATGTTGCGGAGTGGAGACGAATCCCTGACCCACGGGTTCTTTGGCTGACCCCCAGCGTCAATGGTTCAGCGTAATGTGCCAACCTTAACTGGATTCAGGTTTGTCAATGATCAGAGAATGTCACGGTCTGAATATCGGGCACTATAGGTAAACACGGCTAAGTTTCTGAGGCGTGAAGTGCTGTGAGCAGGCGCGGGGCGCTCTCGCCGTCAGGGGATTCGGAGCCGAGTATCACTGCATCTGCGACTCACTTTCAAACGGTGCAGAAGCACAGAGACAAATACAAACAAATCACTAAGGCACACATGGTGACGGTGACAAGTGTCGGATTAGACTGTGATGTGCAGGTGATCAGTGTGTATTATTTCAGCTTTTCTGTGTGTTTAAAGTTTTTCATAAAATGCTGAAGGAAAGAAAGCAGAGGGATACTGATAATCCATGTACTGATGTGTCCTGGAGAGAAACTGGGGAGGGGGAGGGGCGAGGCGGCTCCTCTGATCCCCAGACAGCCCTAGGGGGGCCACTTACACAAGAAGCTAGTCCTTGGGCAAATTCTGAATCTGACGTTTTTATCTTAAATAGATCCGTGAATCACCCTCCTGGTGGACAAGGCACAGCAAGGCCACTGCACACTCACTGCGGGAACAGGCGCCCCGAGCTGGGAGCCTAGGCAAGCCACAGGCCACCGAGGTCAGGGCGGCGCCCCGGGCAGACCCTGCTCTCCTCAGCCCACAGGAGAAGAGGCGGCAGCAGGAGGGAAGAGCTGCAGGGGCGTGTCTCGGGGATGGGCGGGTTTGTGGGCGAAGGTGGCAGAAACACCCCCCCACCCCAACAAGGGAGGTCAGCCAGATGGTGGGACGCAGGGCCAACAGACAGAAACCCTGTCCTTCTATGTCCTAATGGCGAGCATGCGGACACCCCGACTAAAAAACGTAATATATTTCCGGCATGTAAGGAGCTTGGAAGTCATCACTCCCACCTTCCCAACAAAAACGCCAAATGAATTTTTTATAACTACATGTGATTCTGTAATTATCAACAACTCTTCTTGGCCCATGAGAGAACTTGGGTCACAGGTTCCAGAGCAAAGTGGTGCCATGGCAGCTGATCACATGGAGACCCAGAGTGGACGGTGGGAGCCTGGACAGCCCGGGACACCAGACCTGGAAGCACAGGTGCTGGGGTGACACCCAGGATGGCTTGAGTTAAAAGTAGTGGAGGTGGGTCTCAGGGGCCCCTGACCTTTCTGAGCCTCATCAGGTTCTTGCCGTTAACATCAAACTCCCCCCATGCTTCTAACAAGAGTGATAAAGCACCCGCTGTGGATGGAATTGTGCCGCCCCCAACTCACACGCTGAAACCCTAACCCCAGTGTGATGCTATCAGGAGAGAGGCTCTTAGGAAGTAATGCGCTCATGAGGGTGGGGCTCTGACCTGATAGGGCTGTGGCCCAAGAAGGAAAGGAGAGCACGTGTCTCTCCCTCTGCACCCATGTTGCAGGGAGAGGCCCTGTGAGGCCCAGGAGGAGGGGGCTGCCTGCAAGCCCAGGGAGGGGCCTCAGAAGGAAACCAACCCCGCCAACACCCGTATCTTGGACTTCTATTCCCCAGAACTGTGAGGAAATAAATTTCTGTTGTTTAAGCCACCCACTCTATGATATTTTGTTATGGCCACCCCAGCAAAGTGACACAAACTGGCAAACTCATACTATAGTTTTGCAAAATATTACCATTGGGGGAAACTGGGCAAAGTGTATAGGGATTTCTCTGTATTTTTTATGACTACATGTGATTCTGTAATTATCAACAACAATTTCATTTTAAAAAAGAATTAAGAAAATACAAGAATGACACACTCCAGCTTGTGTGCTTCCTGTTTAGTAATTCAGTGAGACCTGTGTATGGAAGGCATCTGTGCTGGGAGGCAAAGGGGGGCCCAGTGTGGGGGTACGGGCCAGCGCAGGGTGAGGAGGACCCTCAGGTGTGGGGCAAGGTCGCTGATGACATAGTAAGTGGATCTACGGAAGATGACAGAAGCCAGGCTCCTCACAGTCAGAGATGTGAGTCACGGACAGGAAGAGCGAGAACGCAACTATTCCCTGTGCGGTTGAGCGGGAGTCGCACCTACAGATTTAGATTCATGCTGTTCAAGATGGAGAGATGTGTAAATATACTTGAAATTGTGCATGTGAGAGTATGTGTGCGTATAAGCACATACACATTCCTTGGCTCTACCACTAGGCGTGCATGGAAGCAGCGATGCCCAGGTACAGCGAGCACTCCTAGTGCCCAGATCTTGGTCTCTAAATACCTTTTATACTAAAAGTCACCAAGGGCTCCTTGGAGAAAGAGCTGATTCCAGGGCCGAGGCAGGGGAAGTATTACATGAACTTGGAAAACCTGAGGGTACCAGAAAGTAAGGAAGTGCTCAAAGACCAGGACCTGCCCAGAGGCCCGGAAACCACCCCGAAGGGGCTCACATTGGTCAAATCTGAGACAATTAAAAATTGTTGTTAAATGCTATAATCTATTGACTAAAACAAGAATGACAGTAATATGATGATGTAAATGAGTAAATAAATGGGGGAAAGAGCTCTTTCTCACGTTAGAATACCAATTAATAAATACAAAGGGAACAGAGGGTTCAGTCACCAGTCGCACCCATCGTGGCGATGGCTGAGCTCACCAAGGAACAAAGAGTGCTCAAGCGCCGAGAGTCTGATGAATGGGATATTTACATATCAGAGTATCTACCACAAAATACTAATTAATTACCAAGGAAAAACTGACAGCCAACGCACCATGTAACCAAGAACCAAATCACCAGCGATGGGGCAGACAGGATGCCATGAGAACACAGCATCGCGTTGGGGCTATCACCGTCAGAGACGTGTGACCTACATGTGATGACAAGGGAACATCAGACAAATTAACGGAGGGACTTCCCACAGAACATCGGCTTGTCAGTCTTCAGAAGTGCCAGGGTCCTAGAGACCAGGGCACAGTGACAGGGGGTGGTGTTCAAACGGCTGTTTCACAACCACATTAATTTCCTGATTTCAGGCGGGGGGCTGATGGGTTGGCAACTCTCACATCTTTCAGAAGCAAGCTCTGTACCTCCCTTTTGTAAGTCTGAAACCACTTCAAAATAATGCAGAAAAGGGGGCGGTATTAGCTCCCTGCCTGGTGTCAATACCTGACCTGTTTGCTGAGCTCTTCCGTCTCACAGCAGGCCTGTTCCTTGTCTCTCTTCAGGGCCTCGATTTCCCCCCTGTTGGAGAAGCAGGATGAGTAGATCAGCCTCCCCAGCCCTGCCTGTCGTGACGGCAGCGGCTTGGGTTTGCAGCCGAGCAGACCCGCAGCTCTGGCACCTGCAGCCGCCGCCGTTCCTGGTCACCACCCCGGGGCTGCCCTGCCGTCGTCTGCGGCTGGACTCCACGTCCCAGAACCGGGAGCACTGCCAGCACCCTAAGGGCGGACACCCGCCACAGTACTTCTCAATCTCACACGTCAGTACTTCTTCAGCAGAACATTTAACTATACCCAGCAGCATAAATAAAGGCCCAAATGACCCTATGTCTGCTGACGTCTGTCGTCAAATGGGTCCTAGAAGCAAACTGAGGGAAAAACAGTTTCTACAAGGAAAAAAACTTAGGTTTCAGAATTGCTGTAATATAACATCAACCACTTGTTGACCACCAGCTCTGCATTCCGCACTTTAAAACATGGCAATTTTTGCTCTCTTACAATACTAAACTATGTTTTCTACCTTTATCTTGCATCTACCTACCACTTCAGCATTTTATTAAAAATAATAAAAATAATAATAATAATAAAGGAGAAATGTGGGATCCACATATAAATCAAGCATAAAAATCAAACGAATATTCATATTTGACCTGATTGTTTATAGTTCATAATGCGTGATCAAATCCATGTAAGAACTTGTTCGTTATGCTTCAGAAGATTGGAGACTGACGAGAATTAGGCTTGAGATGGAGTAATGATTGTGCACTGAGCACTGACTCCCCTATACAGAATTTTATTGTTGTTAACAACCATTTGATCAATAAATATAAGAGAGGCCCTCTCAAAAAAAAAAAAATGTGGATACTTTAAGAAGAAAAAAAACATGGCAATTTTTTCAGATCAGTACCACATTGTCAGCATTTTAGAGCTGGGCTCATCTTGAACTTCATATTTGGAAATAAAAGGTCAGAGAAATGGTCCTTGGATAAGGCTGCAGTGCTGAGAGCAGACACCCACCAACAGGAACCCCGACCCCCGGCCTGTCCTGCCGCGGCGCTCAGGACCCTCCATCTTCCCTCTGGTTCTCACCCCAGCTCCTGACTCGCTGAAACTGACAGCCTGAAACAAGTCTTGGAGAAAAGCATAGCTGAAACCATTCCAAGACATGAACTTGCCCAGAAAGGCCCAGGAGCACCTCTTACCCCTGCAGAAATACTCGCTGCCTCCCCCACCCCTTAGAGTGCCATGGAATATTTCTGTAGGGGTGAGAAGTGCTTGTCTATGGACTTCAGAGATCAGCGGGCCAGACCAAGCTGGTCACGCTGGCACATGGCAGCTGGCACATGCTCTCCACCTCACGCCTCGGAGGCCGAGGAGCCCAGGGAGGAGGGTGGCCGCCAACATCCGGAAGGGGGTCGGAGGCCAGCACGGCTCAGCCAGTTTGGGTTTTCTGGAGTGCAGGGTTGGTCTGCAAACACTTTCTACAGCAGAGCCTTCCGAGCGGAACGTGCCATAGGCAGGCAGGCCTGGGTGGACCCGTGAGACAGGGCCCTACCTCTGTGCACCACGTGTCCTCTCCGCAGCTTCAAGCTCTTGCTGAATCCTTCCCAGCTCATTTTTCAACAACGTGTTTTCTTCAGAAAGCTGATCCAACTCGATTCTGCATGAAAATTTGATAACAGAGTGGGCACTCCAGGAGCAGGCTGCCATTCGCGTCTGCCTGAGGCTGGCCTTGCTGCTGGGGGTCACGGCCGTCCTGCGACATACGGGTCCTTGCCCTGGATGAGGGCACAGGGCACACTCCTCCTTCTCCTTCTTTTCTGTCTAGCACTCACACGCTACGCTTTGCATCTCCCAGGAGACAAGCTGCAGAGAACAGGGCTTTCTTAGTTTCTACGACAGTCACACAATCACGACTCACTGATGCTCAGCACTTTGTGTTTGCAGCTGACCTGTCCCTGCACCTCCCGGCCTCTAACTGAAATGTGAGCGTGCCCACGGCCGGTGCCCAGGCGCAGTGCTGGGCATGGTCCTCCAGCGTTGCAAAGGATACCCTCCCCCCTCATGAACTCCAGCACGGAGTCGAGGAACACGAGGGGCCAGAAGCGCAAAACGCAGGGACACATTTTTCCTCCTCAGTGAGTGCCCTCCCTCCCCACACTCAGAGGTCAGCACTAAGAGGACCCTGGGATGACGCATCGACGGACGGAGGGACACCTGATGCCAGGTGGAACCCTCGATGGGAAAAGGCAAGTATGAGCAGCTGCTTCATGAAGCAAGTCGGCCTGGAGCCACCTGTGCTTTCTGATGGGCAACACCATCGCTGCACGGCAGACGGGCAATCTAGCAGTGAACATCGTGGACGGGGCAGCTCATTAAAACCTATACTTGCTGCCCAGAGAACGTATTCTTACACATGTTGGGTCTAGTTGACATTTATTCCCCATAGGAGGCCTCTGCCTGGCTTTAACTTCTAATTATTTCAATCTAAAAATACTCAAAAACCATATGCTCCCTTGTTTATTTTATGTATTATGCTTATAATATCAAGTATAAGTTATCTCCATCAGCATAAGAATGACTTTTATCTCATGAAGAATGAAAGAGAAAAATAATGAAACAAGTCACTGGAATTCTGAAAGTAGCAAAGGATTTCAAGCAGGGGAGTGAGACAAACAAGGTCTGTGTTAAGGCTGTCACTCTGGTCCAGGGCAGACGAGAAATTGATTCAAGGCCGGGCCGTGTGTGGGCATTGCGGGTGGGGGGTCCTAGTTCCTGGACCTCACATAAGCCGACAGTCATCCCACCTGACCCTCACCCAGCAACCGGAGCCCGTGTGACACTGGTGACACAACGTGTGGCTGTCCTTCCAGAAGGCGACGGAAAACTGCAAGGGCCCCCCCAGAGCAGAAACCAGAAGTCAAAACCAAAGTTGTGAGCATTAAGCAAAACAAAGATGGGGTCACCCTGACGACAGTGCGTGGGCCAGCACTGCCACCTGTGGCATGGGGGGACCGCACTGGACACCAGCACTGAGCCAGGGCCTGGGGGGTGGGTAAGCGGTCCCAGATCAGGAGGCTCCCGACTCAGCAGAAGCAATACACGTTGTTTCTGAAGAAAGCACCCCTACCGCGGGTCCCAGGCACCCAGAGTGACATCACGTCACCACGAGCTCAGCACAGCACACGTGGAGAAGGCCACCTACGAGGGCTGGCAGGAGCCAAACAACAGAGTTAGACCCTGTAGGGACCTCAGATATTGGGATTACCAGACACAAACCCAAAATAAATGTTATGAAATACTTATGTAAATAAAATAAATTAAAAAATGAACACGCAATGAAAACTACCAAAAGCAATCATACCAAACAGTCCAAACAGGACCAGACAGAGTTTCTGGAAATGAAAAGAAAGTCAATGTCAAAATAAAAAAAGCACTCAATGGGTTAAATGGCAAATTAGACACAGCTGAAGAAAGAACCACCGTCCTGGAACACAGACATAGGTTGTTAAGTACCAGAATGTGACACAGAAAGGAAGGAACAAGGAAAGTGTGAAGAAGCCAAGAAACAGAAGAAAGGTGAAAAGATCTAACATCTAGTTGGGGTGTGGAGCTGGGGGGGGAGGCAATATTTTACAAATAGTGGCTGAGAATTTTCATAAGAGATCTATACATATGGAGGCACAGTATTTTCCTAAGTGGGATAAGTGAAGAGAAAACCACATCTATGCCCTATGACCCCAAAAGCCCATTCTTAGGTACATCCCAACATAAATGCTCCAAAAGACGTGCACAAGGACCTTCTTAGCAGCCCAAAACTAGAAACCACTCAAATGCCAGTCAATGAGTGAATGAACGTCGTGGTCCGTCCACACAACGGAATACTCCACAGCAACCGAAGTGCATGAACCACAGCGGCGACCAGCAACATGGACGGATTCCACAAACAGGCGCTGAGGGAAGAAAGCCAGACACAGAAGAGTAGACGTGGGGTGATTCCTTTGTATGAGGTACAAAGACCAACAAGACCAATCTGCACTGTTAGAAGCCAGGGCGGTGGTCACCGCAAGCGGCTCTGGGAAGCTCTGTTTCTTGTGCTGGGTGCTGGTGACACAGACACGTTCAATTTGTGGCAATTCTTCTAACTGTACACGTATGTGTGCTTTTCTTGTGTATATACTGCTTCAATAAAAAGTTGCAAGAAATACACACCTAAATACACCAAAGAAAAACCATAAAAGAGAGAGATCTTGAGAGTAGCCATTGGGCACGACTCAGACCACCTAGTATGGCAGGCAGGACAATGGCCTCTAAAAGATGTCTGCATGCTCATCCCCGGAACCAGTTAATATATTGCAGTACATGGTAAAGGGGAATTAATGGAGCAAATGGAATCAAGGTTGCCAATTAGGTGGCCTTAGGTAGGACAGTGTCCTGGAGTTCCCAAGTGGGCCCAGTGTTGTCACCAGGGTCCTAAATGCGGGGGAGGGGGACAGAAGAGTCGGTATCCAGGGGATGCGATGGAGGGAAGGCCTCACCAGTCACCTCTGGCTTTGAACATGGAAGGATCTATGAGCCGCAGGGTACAAGCAGTCTGTAAAAGCGGGAAAAGGCAAGAAAAGTGATTCTCCTTTAGAGCCACCAGAGAGGGAGGAAGCCTGCCCACATCTTGATTTTAGTCCAGTCCAGTAAGGCCCACTTCAGACTTCCAAGCTCCAAAACTATGAAACCATAAATGGTGTTGTCTCAAGCCACCACCAACTTTGTGGTATTTTCTTACAGCAGCCGTGGGAAATGAACGTACATACACAACAACAACTGGAGCAGGCTACCCAACATCAGCCACGAAATCCCGAAGATACTGAATATGTTCGAAGGGCAGAGGGCAGTCTTTTGACTGTCAATCTAGATTTGTGTTCCTAGGAATTCTATCTTTCAAAAATGAGAGGAATTTTGAGACATTTTCAGATAAAGAAAAACTGAGGGAATTTATCCCAAACAGTTTCACTGGAGGACTTCCAAAGGCTATTCATCAGAAAGAAAATGGTCCTATAAAGAAGGCGTGAGATTCAAGAAGGAATTTAATCAGGGGGAGAATCAGGCATCCACACTGAGGCCCACTCTGCAAAACACCTGGTTTTGATTCTTCAAAAATGTCAATGTTAAATCCCTAGAAACATACAATCTGCCAAAACTGACATATGAAGAAATAGAAAATCTAAGCAGACCTGTAAGTAGTAAGGATACTGAATCAGTAATGGAACAGCTCAAAACAAAGAAATGTCCAGGAGCAAATGGCTCCCCTGGTGAATTATACCAAACATTTAAAGAAGAATTAATGCCAATCTTCAAACTCTTCCAAAGTGTGAAGAAGAGGCGACAACTAATCCATTCTATGGGGCCAGGTTACTCTGATGCCAAAGCCAGACAAGGACAGCACAGCAACAGTACACAGCAGCGGCCTCACCGGCACTGACGCTGAAACCCTCCACAGATCGCTGGCAGAAGTCATTGTTTGATGGGTACACGTTCTGCCTGGGATGAAGGAAAAGTTCTGGGAGTGGATGGGGTGACAGTAGCTGCATGATATTTTGACTGTTCAATACCACTGAACTGTACACATAAAAGTGGTTGAAATTGTCAATTTTGTGTGATGTGTATTTTACAATGATAAAGTGAATGTCCATTGCCAAAAAAATTGACTGAAAAAACCTGATATGTTTTTCAATTAAAGGATATTAAAGAGATATGCTAACTAAATTCATAACGTGATCCCTGTTAGACCTGAAGTGAACAATCTATAAAGAACAAACTGAAACCCTTGGGGAAATGTGATGCGGAGCCCAAAGCACTGTACTCATGTTATCTTTCCCACTGTGACAGTGACCGTGGCTACGTGGATGTCCTTGTCCTAATGAAATGCAGGCTCAGGTAGTTGGCAGTGAAGTGTTCTGTCTGTAATTGTCTCAGATGATTCCAGAAGAAGGGCATGTGTGGGCTGGTGGGTGTAGAGAAGGCAGAGCAGATGTGGGTATGGGTGAGTCTGGGCACCCAGACCACTCAAGCCAGTCCCTAAGCCATGGGCAGACTCCCTCGCGGTCCAGCCTGGTCACGTCCCTCTGGGCTTTGCTTCCTCTTACAATAAAGGCCAGAATCCGCAGCATGGCCGCCAGGGGCCCACGAGTCTGAGCTCGGCCAGCCTGGGGTCCTGCGGCTGCTGCGGCTGGGAAGGTGGCCCCACGGGCCGGGCTGGGAGCAGTCCTGTCCTCACAAGGCAGGAGCCCCTTCTGGGGGCCTGCCCTGTGGGCTCGGCGGCACCTGCATGCTGCTGAGCCCCAGGAACTCTGCAGGCCTGCACGTCTCATCGGTAAACTGGCCTCTGGGTGGCTCCTGACTCAGGTGACCTTCTGTCCTTGCCCCCACCTGCCCCAGACACCAGCCCCGCGGTCTCCCCTTCCTCACCTCCCCACCCACCTTGCTCTGTGGGGCATGCACGGCGCCTGGAGTGTGGATTGGCTTCTGCCCCCTGCTCTCTCCCTTCCTAGAGCGCCGCTTCTCCTGGGAGCCCTCTGCTCCTGACCCGCTTCCCACCTCCCTGCCTCTCCCCTGTCACCTGGAGCCCCGTCAGTTCAGCCTCCGAACCTCGACCGTCCACCGTCTTGCGTGTCTGAGACAGTCACTTGGTCCCACGGTCAGCTCTGCATGGACAGTTGCAGTAGCCACGAACCCCTGCCTCTGGCCCGCCCCCCACCCTCTGCCCCTGCCTTCTGCGCATCCCCCAGCCCGGCCACCTACTCCTTCTGGCCTCCCTCGCCCTGCCCCAGGAAGACCCTCCCCATCTCCCCGTGAGCCAGCTGCTACCCACCTTCCCCTGTAGCAGCCCATCTCCTCATTCCCTAGACCCCCTAACCGAGCCACGCCTGCTCCCCACTAGGCCTCCCTCCCGGACACGGGGGCACAGGCGCTGCCCCACCAGCCCGGGACTCACAGTTCAAGGACGGGGCTGGTGGGCGTGGCCGGGGTCCTGCTCACAGTGGTCAGGAAGGGGCTCAGAGGGCGCAGGGCTGCAGTGGGGCTCCAAGCACAGCCCCTCTGTCCTGCGAGACCAGCATGAACTGCCTGAGATGGGGCAGCGGACGCCAAGCTGGCCAAGCTGCCAGAAAGGCCCACCGCTGCCCTCTGCCCACATGCAGGGCACCTGGGGGCCGGGGACACTGGTGTGGGGCCAGGTGGGCGAGCCCTGCAGGCACCAGGGCTGCACCCCCATCAGCAGCTGTGCCCTGGCAGAGGAGCAGCCCTGCTGGGGGCAGAGGCTGGCGTCCTAGGGGAGAAACCAAGCCTGCTCTCTCCAACCTGTGGCTTCCTCGGGAGCCCACGCATCTGCCGCCGCACGAGTCGGTGTTTCACATCACAGCATCTCGCTCCAGGGCCAAGGAGGCCTTTCCCTCACCCAGGGCCTCAAGCTGTTCCTGTGCAGCCGCCTGGGGCCCAGGGAAGCCAGGTGGGGGAGTGCGGCACCCTGGGGGCCTCGTCCAGGCCGGCTGCAGCCCCTGGCAGGGTGCTCCGGCCTCGCCGGGCCCATCCCTGCAGACCCGGCTCCCCACCCAGGTTCCCAGCTCGCCGCTCCGTGGAGACGCCAGGCCCTCTCCGTCTCCTGCCTGCTGGTCGGGCGTCCCCTCTGCCTGCTCCCAAGAGCAGTGCTGGCTCCGGGTCGGCAGAGGCCTGGCCACCGGCGGAGGGAACCAATTCCCCCAGGACCGCTCCTTGGTGCACCCCACGTGGGACTGGACTGCGACGACCCACTGTGGGAGCGGAAGCTGCCGCCTCGGCATCAAGCATGCCCCAGCCGTCTGAGGCCGAGGCTCGGACGGGCTCTGCCTGCCATCTACACGGCAAGGGTGTTGGCCTGGCGCAGCCTGCACCTGCTTGCCCACGGCCAAGCCCATCACCAGCCCTGGCTGCTGGCCGCTCCCCTACCCCCCACCTGCACAGAGGGATCTGCCCTCGGTGGGGTCGGTTTTACACACAGACGCTGACACAGGAGCCCCTGGCACATGTGAACTGCTAAAGTCGATTAAAATAAAGCAACTAAAATTCAGCCCCTTAGTCACACAGCCATGTGTCCAGGGCTCAGTGGCCACGTGGGGAGGGTGGCTGCCATGACCGACGAGCAGATAGGGGCCACACCCCTCCTCATAGAGGTGTAAGGACAGGGGTCCAAAGACCAAGTGAGATGGTGGAACTCACCCCTCGTCAGTACCACCCTTGAAAACCTGAGTTGCTGGGACCGGAGGCCGGAGGCCCCCAGAAGAGTGTCCAGCCGAGTCAAGGGCTGCGCAGGCAGCTGGGCTGGGACTGGCATGTCCTCTGCTCAGCCAGCATCGGCCTGCACGAGGGGAAAGGCGGGCAGCTCTCCCTCCAGGCTAGGAGCTCCTGGGGAGATGGCTCAAGTGGGTGGAGGGGCTGCCCCGCCTGCCCGCTGCCCAGAGGCAGCCGTGGCCAGTCCTCTATCACAGTTCTTGGGTTTAAGAGAAGATAGCTCAGAGCACGGGGTGGCCCATGGCTTTCAAAGCTTCTGATCCACCCTCAGGAGAGGGGCATTCAGTTCCAGCACGCCCCTTGGGCCTGGGGCGCTCTGCTGGCAGCCCAGAGAGAAGGAGGGGGGCACAGGTACAGACTGGCAGGGGTCTGCCCTTTCTCAGCACATGCCAGTGCCCAGTCCGCCCCAACCATGGGCCGAGGAGGGCGCCCAGCTAGGAGGGCATGACCTCCACAGGAGGTCGCTCGGCATCCTGCTTCAGCGTGGTGACTGAGGCCACGTCCACCTGGCACCTTGGAGACCCGACGACACAGCAGGGCCTCTGTGAGCAGGGGTGGGGCGAGCCCCCAGCGGAGCCACACACTCAGCCCTGGGGCCGCCACCTCCTGAGCTGGGGGAGGCTGGCGAGGGCGGCCTGGGCACACCAGGCCTACAGTTCTGGCCACCCCTCCTCAGCCCCGTCCACAGAGGGGCTCGTGGACATTTCCTGGGGACCCCTAACACTGCACGCAGCATCCACACTCCGCTTTGCTCACGTACCTTAGCCTTTCCAAGACCCTCACTGACCGGAGCTGACTGTCCTTCCCACCGTCGTAGGGGCTTTAGACCTTTTCTCCATCTCCCCCGTGCTACATTACCGCAGCCCAGAAAATGAGAGCAAGGTACGAAAGAGCACATCGCCCTCTGATGCCAGGCGAGTCTGAGGCAGAGGTGAGAACGAGTCGAGATTCTACAAAGCAAATAGCTCCGTGGCCTAAGCCCCAGTTAATGCACATTGTTAATTAAGTAAAATCCTTACACGGTGACCTGTCCCTTTAATGGCCACCCATTTGCCCCCAGACGGGAAATCCTGAGAGGACACGATGCCCTGACCTGGCTCTCTGCAGCGCCGCCTCCAGCCGGTCCTTGTCCTGGGCCAGCCTCCGGGCCAGGCCAGGCAGCGCCTGCGAGCACCACTGCCGCTCGGGACCCCAGGCCGCACCCTGCAGCTGCTCCCGCAGGCCACGGATGACCTCCTGAGACTTCCCCTGGAGCCTCTCCAGGTCGGCCTTCTGCTCCTCCAGCGTGCTGACCTCCAGCCGGAAGGCCTGCTCCACTGCCCTTCTCTCCTCGGCGAAGCCCCTCCTCATCACCTCCACTTCCCTTTTGTAGTGATTCACCTGAGAACAGATACATGCGCAGCGTCAGCCAGGAGGTCCCCAAAATGACTTAACTGACAATCGGCCCAGCAACCTGAGGCTGCTGGGCACAACGTCCGGGGCAGGTGTCCTGGCCTATGAAGGGGACAGCTGCGGCCACGACAGTCACCCTCGTGGCTGTCACAGCAGCAGTGGGAGGCAGGCCCGGCCAGCGGGGCGAGGGGGCTGGGCCATGCTGGGCCAGCAGCCTGGCCAGGCAGCACATGGAGGGCACGAGGCAGAACCCACTGAGGGCCGGGGGCCTGCTCAAGACCAGCGGGTGGCCTCTGGCAGGCCAGGCTGCGTGGGAGCGTCAGCCACTGCAACAGCAAGCCCAGGGCACAGCCACAGACGGGGCCCTGCCTCACGGCCGCCCTGACACCTGACAGCAAGCCGCAGACACGGCCTTAACAGAACCACCACCATCTACCAACAGAGCAGGAGACGAGCTCATCCGAGGCAATGTCGGCCGCCATCCTGGCCCTGAAGCCACAGGGCGGACTCCCCAGCGGCAGAGAGCAGGGCACTGGCCTCAGCAAGAGCCTTGTGACGCCTGGATGCATAGAACCCCGTCCCTGTTTGTTGGGTCCTGCCTCCTGCCACACAGCGGGTGACGGGATGCCCTGCACACACTCGTTCCCGAGCTGGCCTGCTCCAGGGCAGAACCCTCGAGGCACTGTGCATGGAGGCAGGGGGCATCGGCACCAGGCAAAGCTTTCCCACCTGCAGCAGGAAGCACCTTGGACTCCCAGGGGCCCCTCACCCCTGACCTTGGTCTCTGGGCCCCTGACCTTGGTCTCCAGCTTGACCTTGAGGTCCTGGTAATGCTCCCGCAGCTGCTCCATCATTATCTCCGCTTCTATACTCACTGGAATGGAGTTCCCCGTAAATGAGATGCTGCCTGCAAATCAGAAGCCGTTCCCGCTTATGTCCCACCACAGGCACCACGGGGCCCGCTCCCCAACCCCCATGCCCACGCCTGGATGGCATCGTGTATCCAGGCCAGGCTTCCACCACCGCGCATGAGGCCCCCCACCTTCTGCAGAGGAACGCAGTGCGGGCGGTGCGAGGCCCCCAGTCGGTCTGTCACATGGAGCCCTCAGGGTTGGAGCTCTTTAGAAATCAGCATGTCCCATGTTCCCCAAGCAAAGATCACTCACAACTAGAAGGCCCCCTGAAAGATTTGCCAGGCCCTTTAACTCCCTGAAAGATGCCCTCACAGTGCATTTCCCGCACCCTGATTCTGTTCCGACACCAGGCACGCAGAGGAACGAGAAGCCCCAGGAAAAAGTGTGGCCTGTGGCACAGCCAAGGCCCTGGGCAGTGCTTCCTGCCCAGGTGCCACCGAGCTTCCTTCTCCCTCGGTGTCAAGGACGAGGCCCCGCCTTACTTATTATTATGTCTTAAGGAACGTGGGATTCTGACCAGTCAGTCAGGTGTCCTAACTAGTCGTGGAGAGGGGCTCTGATCTCAGGAGGGGCGTCCCACCTCGGGTGCCCTTGCAGCTCGTTTCCCAGAGGGACCCGTGGGCCCACAAGCACCGCCAGAGCCCCCAGGCACCGAGCCTTCCCAGTGCGGCACGCTGGGGGCTGACTCCAAATGTGGGCTTCAGACGCTGCCCGATTTCCACCGGTGCTGGTCCGGGAACGGACAGCGAAGTAAAAAGACACCTCTCTTCACTCCACCAGTCCTCGCATTTCCCAAATGATTTCCATGGAAAACAGGGGGACTCAGGGTCATCCAGCCAGGAGACTCCCAGAGAAGCACTTAGGAAAGAGAGCATCCCGTTGCCCTGACAACCGGAAGCTGCCACCTGGGTCTGGCCAAATGGGCCTGGGTACACAGGTGCCTGTCAGGAACGGCTCCAGCCGGGTGCACTGATGCCCCCACACTCCTGCTGTCGCGACCCCCCCTCCTTTGAAGGAACCTCTGCAGCCAGACGGCGGGCTGGGGCTCTGGGTTTATCAGTGACGACATGAATCTGGGGCTGCCGTCTGGTGAGACAGCCCGAGGCCCCGGGCAAGCCTACCGGAGATCCAGGCCCCCAGCTCAGCCCCGCTCTGGGTTGCAGGTCTGTGGCTCCGGGCAAGGGTCGCAGGGCTCTGTGCAGCTCGGGCTGCTCCAGGGACAGAGGGGCGGCAGTTGCCCCTCCCCAAGGCCACGCCGGGTGCGAGGTCCCACGCGGTGGGCCGCCGCCTGCCACAGCTCCCGGCTGTGGGCATGCGGCTGGGGGGCCACCAGACTCCACTGCGGCCGCTGCAGGTGAGCGGCTCCCTGAGGGGCCAAGCAAGCTGGGGGCACAGAGAACCCCACTCGGTGTCCCCGGGGGACCCACGTCGGCTCTCAGGTACAAGGTTTGCTGTTTTATTAAGTCTTGGCTTTAGGGCAGGATGGGAACTCTGTGTGGGGCTCACAGATGAGATGTGCCCGAGGGGCTGCGGCTGCCATGATGCCATCCCTGGAGTCGGGTGGCCGGGCTGGAGCAGAGCCCCATGAGCCGGTGTAGGGCCACATACGCCGTGACCACCTGCCCCACCGCTGCCAGGCAGGGCGGCGGCCAGCCGAGCCCTGCCAGGCCCACCGAGGACCACAGAGCCAGAGCCATGGCCCCTGAGCCCACTTACACACAGGGCCTTGGAACCTCGGCCTGTGGGGCTCCTTTCAAACCTCGCAGGCTGCGGAGCTGGCAGCACGAGGCCCATCTTTCTCGTCCCCTGTTCAGCAACGGCCCCGTTTCCCAGGTGCATGGCTGCTCCAGCTCAGACCCCTCCCATGGCACCCCGGCGGCCACGGCCGAGCCCTGCCACGAGTGCCTGGCGCGGCAGCCGCCCAGACGCAGGCTCCACCTCCTGCTGTGAGCAGGGCTGGAGACCCACCCGCCCACCCAGCCTCCCCTCCTCCCGTTTCTACCCAATGGTAAAGCGCCCCCCCTGCCTCTCAGGTTCTCCTGTCACGTGAGTCCCTGGCCTCTGGTTCGAGGCCCTTCCCCACATGCGGCAGCCAGAAAGGCTGGGGACCACTTGGGGGGCAGGCCAGGCCCTGACGTGCAGCCTGCTCACCGCCCAGACCTCCCCAGACCTGGGGGGAGCCCGAGGCCCGCACCCCCTGGGGACGGGCTCCTACCTGCTGGGCCGAGTCCAGGGAGCGGCAGGTCATCTGGCCACGCAGGGGGCTGGTGGCACCGACCGGGGGGCAGCTGTGCCTGCAGGCCTTCCAGGGCAGCCTGCAGCTCGTCATTGTGGTCCTGCAGGTCCTGCGGGGCAGAGCCGGGCACCTTCCAGCAGCCGTGGCCCAGCCGGAGCAGCAGCTCGGCGTGGAGACGGGGCCGCCCAGCCCAGCTGCCCACGCGAAGCATTACCCCACATTCTGGGCTCCAACCACATGCTGAGCGAGACCCAAGGGTCCCCTGCCTTGTTCACATGCCCTGCACCACTTCCTGCCCCTGCGTACACAGAGGCTCAGGACAGACAGCACGGAGGAGAAACGAGAAAAACAGAACTAGAGATGCCATGTTTAAAATGGGGACACTGTGACGTGGCTGTGAGGCAGGAACACCCGGATGCGTCGGGATGTGCCCTGGGACGCTCCCCTCGGCTGCCGTGGACTCTGCCCAGCTCTGCACTACCAGAGGCGGCACCACGCGCTGGCTCAGGTCCAAGACCACAGGCAGTGACTGTGCCCAACAGGATGGTGGCTGGGAAGGGGCTGCCTTGGGGGAAAGGGCCACATTTGCAATAAGTGCCATTTTGTCCTTGAATGGAATACACCTTCACAGTCACACTTGATCCCCTGAATTTAAAAGGCTAGAAAGGACAGTGAACGCCTGCTTCCCCACAGGGCCCCACAGCACCTGGGCCAACGGCCACGTCCACTCAGGCCCGGACTGTGGCCTCCCCCCACCAACCCTGCGGCGACCCCAGCCTGGACGACGGCAGAGCCCCATCTCCCCAGGGTGCGGCTCCCAGTTGGCCTCCTTTGGGACACACCCTCTGGACGAGGGGCACACTCCCCAGGCCCGAAGGAGAGGACCCAGAGGCCCAGCCCTCAGCACCCCCCCGGGGTTGCCTTTCCCCCTCTGGTTTTTTAACCCTGTATGAGCTTCCTCCCCAGGCAGCACTTACTGCATAAACCTAATCTTTCACAAACTGCTCCCAGAGGCCAGGGCCCGGCCTGTCACTGGCAGTTGTGGGCCACAAGGAAGACAGGACGGATGTCAGAAGCAGGACAGAGTCACGTAAAGTTGCTGCATTTTGTTCAGAAACTCCTGAACAAATACACACGTTTTCCCCCCAGGAGGGAGCAGCCCAGCCCTAGGGGAAGCGGACAGGCCAGCAGGTCAGAGCTCCGGGGCGAGCCTGCAGAGCAGAGCATCCCCACAGGCTGCGGCCACAGGGCCTGCCCTGCCCAGGAAGGCAGCCCTGCCACAGGGCATCCCAGGGCATCTCTGGCGTCCCAGGTGTGCTCTGTGCTCAGCACAAAATCTGTTCCAGATTTCAAGGGCCAGATCACAAAAGAGAGATGGAAAATACCTCATTAAAAGTCTGTCTATATTGCTTATCACTGAAAAGAAAAACACTGTAGATACACTGGACTGAACAAAACATCATCAATGCCTCCCATTTCTTTTTACATGTTTAAATGCGTGTACTGGAAAACTTGAAGTACATGCATGACCACTGGGCTGTATACCTGAAACCAGTATGATACTGTGGTCAACTACCCGCCAAAAATATCAAGACAGAAAAAACAAAACACCCCAAAAAAGAAAAAAGCACAGAGCTGTTCTTATTTTTAAATAAACTGAATGAAAGACAAAAGGAAATCATGTGTGGGACGTTGTATTTTTGTAGGGCGGTGCCAACCCAGAAGGTACCGTGGGCAGCATCACGCCCGCCCAGTGCCCTGCCCCTGTGGTTCCTTCTACCCCAACAATGGTGTTCTGGGGGCACCTGCCCGCCCCGAACCCAGCCGTGCCAGAGCACAGGTTCCCCTGGGGGCGAAGCCAGGCCCACTGCTTTGCCCCAGAGCCACAGGCAGCTCGGAGGCTGGAACTGACCAGGACAATGTGCGCCAGGCCTGCCACACGAGGGTGCTGGGGGGCTGGGGAGCCAGGGTGCTTTGGTGGCACGTGGCCTGCACCTCCATTTGGGGTACCCGTGGGTGCCAGGAGGGTGACAGGGCGGTGGCCCCCACATGAGGCGGGCAGGGTCTGAGGAGGGAGGCCCATCGGGGCTCCTCCTGAGCGCACAGGCCTGTGAACAGAAGGGGGGCAGTGGGGAGACGGGGGACAGGACAGGACACACGGACATGGTGACACACTGGCGGAGCAGCACAGGCGAGCATCTGAGAGAAAGGTGGGCGGGAAGGCTCCCACGGGGTCTGAGGCCGCCAAGGGCGGCGGTCGGGGTCGGCGTGGCCCAGTCCCCTGGCCGTGGTGGCAGTGCCACCACAGGCTGGGGCTCCTGAACGGCAGCCTGGAGCCCACGGCCCGGCGTGGGTGGGAACTGGTCCCGGCAGCCAGCCCCACCGGGGTCCTCACTCGGCGGGAGGAATGGGGGGCTCTCTGGGGCTGCCCACCTCAGCCCTCACTGACTTGCCAACCGGCACACTGGGTCAGTGGCTTCCAACTATGATTTTGGGGAGCTCAAACATTCAGTCTGTAACAGAGGAAGTGCAGGAAGGGAACCTGCTGGAGGGGTTCCTGGCCACCGACACGTGGGTCCACTAGGGCAGCTGCCCAAACACGGGGCCGCAGAGAAGCTCTAAAGAGGGCCCAGCCCGCCATCCACCAGAGGCAGCCCCCCAGGGAAGCAGACTGGCAGCCGGAAGGAAGGGGGGCTGGAGCGAAGTCAAACAGGAAGGGAGTCCGGCCGCCGGGCAGGGCACGTCCCCTGCCGCCAGGCTCCCAGGCCCGGGTCTCTGGGCCCCTCCCAGGTGTGAGCAACCCGAACTTCTCAGACAAGGGGCTGATTCCAGAGCAGGCACAGGTCAGTACAAGATGGGTCTGGAGCTTCTCCGAGGCTAAAAGCATGGAAGTCCTCAGTAAGACAGCGCAGGAGCGCGCTGCACCACGAGGACGTGGCTGCCACTGGAAGATGCTTTCGCTGGTCAAGTCTTACAGCACCTGAGCTCTGAACACATAGATGCCGTGATGGACCGAACTACTGGGGCAAAAGGGAACCCACGGGTTCACACCAACAACAGGCGGGCAGGTGGCTCGACGGGGCTGCTCTGGCTTACAGGGCCAAGGCCGACCAGCAGATGTGGGCAGCGGCCGGAGCTGGCAAATCACTGCTTCGCAGCCATTACAGTAGAGGCTGGAGTGCCAAGAATCATCACTGGACACTGAATCCAGGGGAATCTGAGGAAAAGCAGGACATTTCCATGGTCTTAAAATTCTTCCCCAGTGACTTATTAGTTGCACGGGAGAAAAAAATGGTGATTATACAGTGGGGAGAAAAGGAACACCTTGAACAGGCGATCAAAACAAAACTAAGAGCACCTATGCTGCCCCGCTGAGAGGAACAACCCTGCCTTTAACCCAAAGGAAATGTCAGGAAAACACAAAATGATGACATTCCTTAGACAAGGTGGGGAGGGTAGGTGTAGTCCTCAAAAAGATCCACATCAAAAACAGACCCAGGTTGTGGGAATGTGCTATAGACCAAACGTGCCCCATTCCCACGATAAACCCCACCCCGTGTGGGGCCACTGGTGGGGGGGGTCAGGTCACGAGGAGGCAGCCCTGGGGAGTGGGACCAGTGCCCCTAAAAGAAGCCCCAGAGCACCTCACCCCTTCGGCCACAGTGAGAAGACAGCCCGCCAGGAGGGCAGGGACCTGTCGGCACCCGGATCCTGGGCTTGCAGCCTCCAGAGCACAGCATGAATTTCCGTTGTTTATCAGTCCCCCAGTCTGTGCCATTTCTGTCAGAGTGGCCAAAATGGAGTAGGACAGGCAGTTCCGGATTAAAGGTCGTCAAACGGACTCTACGTGCATCCTGGAGGGAATGCCCTGGAGGAGGGGGCCGGGGTGAAGCAAACCGGGGCAGCCCGCAGGCTGAAGGCACGCGTCCACGGCAGTCCCGGGGCTAGGTGGGCCGCGGATGGAGGACGCTGCGTTCGGCAGGGCCCCGGGAGCTGGCCCTCCAGGGCTTATAGCTCTTGCACACTCCTGGGGCATCAGTCAACTCCCACCACAGCCAACTTCAAGCCATCAAAGGTTTAACGAGAACTTCGTCAAATTCCCAAGCCCTTAAGAGTTCAGTCTGGTGCACCTACACACTTTGCGGGGGTTGCAGGCCTGGCATCAGGGCTGCCGTTAGCGGACGCAGTGACCCACCTGGGGCCGGGGGCCGTCACCACAAACCTACCCTCAGATGCTCTGAAAACAACCACACACACATACACAGTGAGCACAGAAACAGAGACAGAGCAAACGGGCTGAGATATAAACAAGGGGATGCTGGACAAAGAGATCCAGGTGTTCCCCACACTATTTTTACTTTCATACCTTCATGTATTAAAGATTATTTTCGAATACAGTTTTCTTAATGCTTTAAATGGCAGTTTGAAACAGCCAAAAATATCCAAAACATTGAGAGCAAATTTCTAAAATCAGATTAGCACTACAATGTAAAATATTTCTGATGTGTAAAAGAGGTAAATTTTAAGGACCAAAAGTGAAATCAGCAGTTTTGGATAGCAGAACCATGCTTAGGAAGGGGCTCCTGGGTGCGTGGGAACCCCCGTGCGCTCAGGCGACCCATGACTGACGGCTGCCTGCAGGGTCCGCACCGCTAGCTGAGCAGCGAGAGAACGCGGTACCTAACCGCCTCCTAGCAGAAAGCCGGCAGCATGGTCCCACCACACGACAGCACCCCGACACACCCCAGCATGGTGCGGGACGGGGTGACGCCCCACACGGGATTTCCAAAGGGCACCCCAGGATCCGGGGCTGGGCCCGAGGAAGGGGCACAGAATGGGAAGCAGCGGGTCACACTCCACATCAGCGCGGCTCACCTCTACCCTCTGTCGTCGCCAAAAAGCATGCGGCAGGGATGAACACAAGCCTTACTTTAGTTTGGAAAGTGATTAACAGGCCCGAAACGCTAGACAATTGTGTTTAATCTGCTGGGATCCTGGATGACGTAAAGAGTACAAGGGGCCGTGATCGTTTCTGCACCCCTGACACCGTTTCCCGCCGACGCCTGGCCCTGTGGTGTCTCCCCCTGAATGGGTGGGTGTAGGAGGGTCTGGCCCAGAAGAGCTGAACACCCAGCAGGAAACAAGGCAAAGCCCACACAGTGCCAGGAAAACGGGGGAGCCTTCAGAACTGGCAGCAGTCTAGCGGCCGTGGGCAGCCCTGTGCCCAGCAGACTGGCCCTGCCCCACCCTCTGTGCAGAGGCCAGAGCACAGCCCACCAGGAACACCAGGCCGCCCCTCAGGAGAGTGGGGACCAGGAGCACACCACCACCCAGCTCTGAGCCACCGGCCTCCGTGTGCCCCCGCACCCCACTCACAGCAGGGCCGGGGTTGGGGTGAGCCTGGCCCCCTGGCTCGGAAGGCCTCTGCAGAGCCCCTGCTCTTAGACGGCCGCCCTGGTCCCGGCCCGGCTGCAGGGTGGGCTGGGGGTGAGGGGCACGTACCCGGCACTTGAGCTCATGTTCCTTCAGCACCTCCGCGAAGCGCTCCTCCTGCGCCAGGAGCTCCCCGTTCTGCGGCTCCAGCTGTAGGTCAAACCCACACAGGAAATGACAGGACCCCCAAGGCCTGCCCTGCTCTCCCCTCCCCTGTGTGAGAGGTCCCAGGGCAGAAGGACGCCCTGAATTTATGGAAGGCAGTCACGTGCCCGCCTGGAGCCTGGGCACCCTCCTGCCCCCACCCTGCCCCTTGTGTGGGGCCCTGAGCTCCGACCTCCCCTGTGCCCCGCTACTGGGACCCCACCCCCGGGCTCCAGGCAGATGGCTAGCTGGCCCTGGCCTTGTTCCCAAAAGGCCAGCTTGCAGGGCGTCACAGGGACATACCCACACACCTGCCCTGGGGTGAAGGGGAGAAAATAGGGAAGTTGCCTTGCTAATTTCTCTCCGTTCCAGAATTCTAGCAGAGGATACCGCGTTCGGCCGCCTATGTGCTTTCTCAAGACCCAATGCTTTTCACCCACAGGCTCCCCAGTGAAGACTCGGGCCGGAGGGGCTCGCCTTGTCTTTCAGCACAAACTCCAGATCGTTCCGCAGTGTCAGGACCAGCTTCTCCGATTCCGAGAGCTTCTCCACAACCTCGAGGATCTCCTTCTGCAATCGACTGTTTTCCTGCAAGACATGGGCAGCGGTTTGCGGACCCGAGGAGCACAGGGGGCTGCTGCGGGCCCGCCTCCTCCAAGGCTTATTCTTGGCAGCGCTCGCCCTCAGGGACACGCAAGGCGTCCCACCGCCTGGCGCTGCACAGAGGGGGCCGTGCTGGGCCGACCCACAGCTGCGAAGGCCGGGCCCCGCGAAGGCCCCACGGATGCACATCGCTGTCCCCGCTGCCTCTCTAGCCCAAAATGCGCAGGAGGAATGTGAGGAACACAAGGAAAGGCTGGGGGTGACCCCTCTGAGCCATCTCCTAAACGAGGGACGTGAGAGGGCAGGGGAGCAGCTCAGCTGCCCACGGGGAGGACGCAGGAGCCAGTGAGAGGGGTGCTGGGGGCCCGACCACAGAGCCCAGGCCGGGGGTGCGGGTGCCTGCACACTGAGCCCGGCTTCTCCTTCGGGGGACAGAGACCGAGGGAGGCGGGCACGCATGGGACGAGGAGGAGGGAGGCTGGGGCGTGGGAGGGCCCAGCAGGCCTCATGGGGCCAAGGGCGGACTGTGGACACTCACAGAAGCCCGGAAGGCCATGTCTGTTCCAGGCCACACGCCCAGGGCCCCAAGTGGGCCGGTGAGAGGCTCTGCCCTCTGGCTGACCCCACAGGTGCCCTGTTCCTGGGGGTGCATCAGAGCAGGCTACTGACTACTTCCCTGACCACGGCCCGCCTGAGCCAGAGCAGAGTAACAGCCCCACGCATCCCCATCTGTCCTGCCAGCCCTGTGGCCGGAGGAGGGAGGGGCACCGCCTCTCCTAGGGAACCCAGCCCTTCCTGCTCTGGCTGAGCCATGTGCCAGCTGTGCCCAGGGCTGCAGCACACGCTCCTTGGTGTGAAATCCTGGGCGTTTCCTGCCAGGGGGATGGAACCTGCGTAAGGCCGCTGGGAGGTGCTGACTAGGGAGAGGGGGTGTGGGGGGACGGGTGCTCAGACAACCTGCTCCTGTCTCTCTGGACAGGATGCCCTGGCACTGCCCTCCCTACCCCTCTGCCCCCACCTTCAGGGCCAGGGTCAGCTTCTGGCGCAGGCTGGCCTCCTCGGCTCGCAGGCGCCCCAGGTCCGTCTCCAGTGCGGCCTCCTGCCTGCGGGCCTGCTCCCAGAACAGCTGCCGCTCCGCCTCGGCCTCGGCCCGCAGCAGGCGCAGTCTTCCTCTGTGCCCTTGCTCTAGGCGTCTGTAGGGCACACACGGTGCACGTCACACCAGCTCTCGGGGGTGCCTCCCAGGCCCATGCCTCCACAGGGACACTTCCCAGCAAGCCATGGGCCTTCCCTACCCTGGAGTCTCCCCCGTTCCCACCTGACAGGTGGGGCCTGTTCCTGGCGTAACCCGCATGTGCTGCGGGCCGGGCCTCCTGTTAAGTGCACCCCCAGGGCCTGATGGTGGGCCCCACGCAGACAAGGGGAGCCCATGGGTCCCCAGATCTTCTGGGGTGAGCAAGTGAAGGGGCCCGGGGGGTCTCTCTGATGCCCCCAGGGGCCTCTCAGCCTCAGCAGCCCCTGAACGCCTCTGATAGCCAAACACATGCAAGGGTTCGCCTGTCTGGCAGGACTCAGGAGACGTAAAGCCCGCGGATGGCAGATCCCACAGCACTCAGGGGAGGTGGGAGGCGCACCCCTCAGATTCTGTGACCACCGTGCCCACCAGGAGGGCAGCAGCGCCAAGCTTAGCTTTATCACTAGAGCAGCTGCGTGGGGGGGATTTCTGCACTGCGCCGGCCCGAACTGGAGAGAATCGAACTCCTCCCTGGGCAGGGGGCCGGGCAGGCTAGTGACCAGGCACCGGCGGCACTCACCCTGCGGGCACGGCCCAGAGGAGGGCCACCAGGGAAGGGGATACCCAGGAAGCTGCTGCTCAAGGGCAGCACCCCCAGACCTCTGGCGTTGTTTTACATTAAATATGTATTTGATCATATTGCTCCCATGCTTTAAAAATCCAAAATAAGGAAAATGGTTAAGTGAAAGATGACAGAGCACGACTATACGAGATTCATGTAATTATGTATTATATGTACATGATTACATGTGTGGAAAACAGTTCGTGGGGGACATAACAAATGTTTGGAGTGATGACCTGGTTTGGTTTTCACTTTTCCTTGTATTTTCTACCCTGAACGCGTATCAGGTTATTACTTTGTAAAAAAGAAAATGACAAAAGCCATCAGATCAATAAAAGCTGTTTCTAGAAACCTACTGGCTTAAGGGGTAAAACACGAAGTCGGTCCACCGCCTGCCAGGCCTCGGGTCACAGCCCCAAGCCTGGGGGAGACGCACCACAGGGCACCTCCCAGGCGGCTGGCAGAGAACCAGGCTCAACACCCACGATGCGGATCTGCTCCCGGCCGCTCCCCCGGCCTGTCTCAGGTCAAGCAGCGTTTATCTCTGGAGCCTGGTTGTTTAAAAAGCAGTTTTCTTCCTTCCCAGGACGTGGCCAGGAAAGAGCGTAGGGTGCAGGTCTGGCTGCTCCGGAGCCTGGAGGCCCCCACAAGGCGGTGAGGCGGTGGGACAGCGGGACGGGTCCTGCACCCGCCTGGGCAGTATCCCAGTGCCCCGAAGGCAGCGATGAGGCCAGTGACAGCGCCTTGTCGGAGGGCCGTTAGGAGACGGGAGGCGGTGAGGAAGGAGAGCACATGCCGGCAACCGCCCACTGGCCCCCTCCCAGGTCCGTCCAGCTCCTACTTTCTGACACCAGGTTCCCTGCACAGAACCCACATGGACCTCAGGCCCGTTTCACAAAGTCAGGCGACTAAGGAGAGTATCTGAGATGAGCCAAGTCCAGCCTCTGCGTTGGCGCCAATGGTCTGGGCTTCTAACCCTGCCCGCAGGAACCTGCCTGCAGGAGGGGAGACCCGGAGGCTCCTCAGGCCAGGCAGGGAGTCCGGGGAACAGACTCCCTGCGGAGGGGCAGAAACAAAGCGCAGTTCCTTCCTTACCAAAGGTGCCTTCCTGATGAGCCCCGGGGAAGGTCAAGGGCCAGTCTCCCGCCTCCCTGGCCCTGCAGGCCCCTCCTCATGGTGAGGCCATGTTTACTTATTTTCTCAGGTTTGACCAGAAACATTTTGAGTTTGGTGAAAGAATACTCAATTTTTAGCTTTCCCAAAAATTACCATCATCCTGCAAGTCTGCAAGTGCAGGGCCAGCGAGAGCATGCACGTGCTGGTGCCCCAACTCTCGGGCCCCCGCACACCCCCACCACCCACTGCCCTGCCACACAGAGGTGCTGTGGGCTCCAGCTGCCACGTCTCGCCTGCCCCAGCTGCTCCCGGGCAGGAAAAGGGTGCCAGGCCTCCGGGAGGTGGGATGTGCGAGGACTGGGATGTGAGGCCCTGCTCTGCCCAGAGACCGCTCCCCAAAGGCCATGCTGCATGCACGGGAATGGGGTGGCCCCAGAAGGGACAGCCGGGACCCCAGAACCCCAGGTCCACAGGCGGTGCAGGGAGGGAGCAGGCGGGTGTGTGAGCTGCTGACATGGCCTCTGAGAAAGAGCAGAAGACGAGGGAAGAAATTCAGGGCACTGGTCATGTGAATTTCCCCAGCCTCAGTTTCTTTGGCTGAAAAATGGGAATACAATGTCCAATTCTGGGTTCTGGCAGTCGGTAGGTCAAGCAACTGGCCTGGGACAGACGGCACTGCAGCAGGGACCCGCCCAGGACACAGGGAGGCCGCTGACACCCCACCCCACACCCCACGTCAGAGAGAGTGAGACCCTCCTCGATGCAGCCCTCTTCTTCCAGGAGCGACGCCCCCAGGAGCACCTGGACTCTAGCGGCTCAGGTGAGACGGGGGTCCCAGCTCCACCCCGTTCACAGGCACGGCCGTGGTGGGACTGGGCGCAGGCACCCACGAGACCTACTTGATCTTCTCCTCCGCGAGCTGCTCCAGAGCTGAGTGGCAGTCGTCCACGTCCTTCACGAACTCCCGGTTCCTCTGCTCCGCCCTCTCCAGGTCCTGCCTGGCCTTGTCACGCTCCCTGGCCATCTGCTCCACCTGCTCCCTGCCGCAGAGGAGACGGGCAGATGGAGATGCCTGCTCCGGGCCCGGTGAGCCCTGGGTCCGCGCGGATGGCAGAGGGCTGGTGTCAGCAGGGTGCGAGCACAGGCCAGCGCTGTGCTGACCCACGGCTACCACCAGCCCTCCTCCTGAGGCCATTGCTACCATTACGACACCCATTTTATAGGCACATACTGAGAGATGCCAGGAAAAGTTTCTGGAAAGTTCCTGAAAAAAGGGAGTCTCAGCTGAGTGCCCGACACGTGCCACACCTCCAGGTGTCCCCAGAACAGGTGGGAGTTTATCCAGGCATGTCCCCATCTCCAGCTGGGCTTCAAGCCTAGGGATCCCCATCACCTAATCTGGGACTGGACACACCGCATGAAGGCTGGTCGCCTGCAGCCTGGCACCTACGCAATGGCAGGGGGTGCCACCGAGCAGGCAATCCATGAGCACAGCCCTGGTGCGCCATCCCGGGCCCCTGGGGCTCCGTGCATCACATCGCCCCCCCACACTCATCTGGCATGGCCCCTCCCCGGAGCGTCACCATCCACTCTGCCGGGCACAGAGGCCCGGGTACTCCGCCAAACCGCAGTGGAGCCCTGTGCAAATGGGACACATTGGCCCAGCCGTCACCAGGCATCTGGGGACATATTTGAAGACTGCTTCCCTCCTCCTGCCCAGCCCAGCCCGGGAGCCCCTGGCTGCTCTTGGTGCATCCGGCCGACTGGAGGGCTTCTGCCTCCACGCCCGACACCGACTCCAGTGCCAGCGGGATGAGCACGGAGCTCACATCCTGGTCTTTGGGGCCTTGCTGACATGCGGAGGGAGGCCCCGACAGATCTCCGAGCTGCCCACCAAATGTGAGGGATGCTGGTGACCCTCACATTCTGTGGCTGTAAAAGCCCAGGCAGGCCGCACTTGGACGGCACGCGTGGACGGCCTCGTCCCACTCTTACCACCAGCTTTTTCCGTCCCACCGTGAGCACCACGGGCAAGGGGGTGCAGAGCCCCACCGCGGGACTGGCCACCTGGGTGGACGAGGCCGGGGCCATCCCCTGGATGCCCCCCCAGGCCCACCCCAGCTGCACGGGGCTCTTACTGACGGAAGCTCAGCTCCTGGCGGTAGCAGGCCAAGGCTGCCTGCTGAGTGGCCCCACCGACCAGCATGAGCTCGTTCTCGAGGGCCCAGGTCAGCTCCAGAAGGTCCACCTTCTCATCCACGCTGAAGTCGAGGCTCTGGGGACAGCAAGGCCTGTTGGCGGGAGGGCAGGGCCCTCCGAGCACCCCCTGGCTCTGGGGGCCCAGAGGCTCCGTCAGAGGGCAGGTGTGGCTGGGGCTGGACCGAGCCCTCCCCGGGCACAGAGACCAGCAGAGGCAGGGGCACAGCCCAGGCAGAAGTCTTAGTGGGGGCTGAAGGCAGGCCTGGGAAGAGGCCTTTTCCCCATGGAGTCAGATGTGCCTGTGGGGCCGCAAGGAGACCTAGCATGAGGCCGGCACCACCAGAAACAAGCAGGGAAGGGCCGGCAGGGCCCTGGCTACACCGTGAGCCCCCACCCGAGTGTGCTGCCCCCTCCCCCGGGGTGCCCCCAGCGTCCTGCTCTCTGCTTATACCACTCTGAGCTGGGTTTCTGTCATTTCAAACTAGAAGAACCCTGACTGGTCCATCTGGGGACTATGTGGACGGACAGGCGGCTCTGCCAGTGGAAGGACAGGCTCTGAGAGAGGGGGGCCGCTCCGGGGGGCACAGTGGCCGTTTCCCACAGGATTTTGAAAATAAAGAACAGACTCAACATACCGACACGCCCCCTGCTGGGCTGACTGGGCCGGGCACAGGGGACACGTGCCCCGCCGTGCGCCCTGCCGGATGGCGCTGGGGGTGGCCAGCTGCCGCACCGCGGGGGGAAGCCCGGCCCGGCCCGAGGCACACACAGCGAGCCCGCCTCATCCACGTGGAGGCGGGCAGGTCTGGGTGGGCAGGCGGCTCGGGAGGACCTCAGGGCTGCTATTCTCCCCCTAACACAGGGGGGCGCTCAGCCTCCCGACAATGCCGGCCCGTCGGGCATCCGCACCACAGGGAGGGGGCTCCTTCCCGCCACCTTCGGGTCAGCGGCATCTCTGGCTCGGGGGCGCGGGGCAAACACGTCAGATACTAAACCCTGCGTTCCAATGGCTTCCTTCGGGCTGTTTCCTCTGCTTTTTATTTACAGTCGAAACTGACTATTTTAGCAGCAAAATATAAAGAAAAAAGGGATTCCTACTGGCCTTCCCCCGTGTCTGGAGCAGATGCCCCCGGCCCCCCGCCCAGCCCGCACCGCCCGGGCGCCTCCGCGGGCCCCCAGCTCCACACCTGCAGGATCTCCCCGCCGTTCTGAATGCCCTCCTGGGCCCACAGGGCGACCAGCTGCTCGGGGAGGGCGAAGCCCGTGCCGTCGTCGGCGCTGCAGAAGAGGCGCGGCCCCGAGCACATGGACACGAGGGACGAGGTGGCGGCGGCCTGGCCGCTGCCCTCCTCCCGCAGCGCACCGCCCGCCGTCGGCGTCTCCGGGGCCCGGCCTCCGCTCGGCCGGCCCGGCTCCGTCGCAGCCTGGAGAGGACGATGCACTCGGTCTCCGCCAGCTCCGCTGCCCGGGGGAGGGAACCGGAGCCCTGAGGCCTCACGCAGGGGCCCCGTCCCGGGACGTGGGAACAGGACTCAGAGAAGCCATCCTCCCCCCACTCTGCGGAGGACTCGGGGGCTCCACTGTGTGCCTGACTGTCTGGGCCTGACACCTGCCCTCAGCAGCCCAGGCTTCTTGTCCGTTCTTGCTGACTTCAGGTTCAGAAACCAGAATCTCAGACTGTGCAGCCAGGCAGAGAGTGACGTGGCTGGCCCCCTGCATCGCCGTCCACAAGCCCAGGCCCGCCCAGAGGGGCCTCGGCAGGCTCCCCAGAGCAACTGTGCCCTGTGGGGGGACGAGAAACACCAAGTACTGTGCCAACGGCCACGTAACTGCCTGAGATCTGCCATTTGGCTGCAAAGCCTGGTATCTGCACAAGGGTAAAATTCAGGGACACGGGACACTGCTGCCACAACGCCTGGTGGGGAGACAGGAAGGCAGCATCTCCCCCCGCACGGCTGCCAGGAAATGCCCTGTAAGCCTCATAAAAGCCTCATGAGGGGCATTTTGCAGACGAGACTCAAGAGAAAGCAAGTAACTCATCCGATGACACAGAGCCAGGGAGGCACGATGCCAGGTCGACTCCGTGGTCCGGGTGGGACAGGCGCTAAGCCACACGAACCCCACTTACACGCATGTGCATGCACACCCTGGCCAGCTCCCTGCGGTGGCACAGCCAGGAGACTAAGGTCCTCGAAGGACGCTGGAGGCTGGACCGGGACAGCACTGCTACTGTGGCTCGCGACTCAGTCGCCCCATTTTACCTGGTGATGAGGCCAGGACCTGCTCGGTCTGGCGGGCGCAGAAGATTCCAGAAGTGAGGCGGGTCCATGGTTGAACAGGCCGAGCTGGAATTCCTCGAGACTCACTCTTCCGTCTCCATCTTGATCCAGTTTGTCGAACAGGTCTTCCAGCTCCTGCGCAAAGGCCAGCGCACCTCGGCTTGGAGGCCCCGTCCGCCAGCAGCTGCGTGCTCCCCGCGGCCCCCCGCCCCCCGCCCTCCTTCCTGCCTCCCCAGGTGGGGCGGCTTGCTTGTCCTCCTCCAGCTCAGGCTGCCTGTCCTGCCGGACCCCCCTGGACTCTGGTTCATAAAACCTACACGCTGGGCCAATTTCCAGCCTGCGGTCAGTGGGCACCATCTCAACTTCCTAAACTCCAAATACCCTTGTGTCTACTGTGCCAGAAACTTGCTGGATGGCAGGAAGACGATGCACACACGGAGCACCGCCAGGGTTCAGGGTGCAGCATGGAAGGCACAGCTGAGGGGCCTTTGGCAAAGGGGGGCTACCCCACCTCCTCAAGGCCCCCCAGGAGGACAGGAGCAGACGGCTGCTGGGGTTGCAGCCAGGCGCCGAGGGCACTGCGCGTGGGCTCGATGGCAGAACTGGGCCACACAGGCAGGGGGAGGGGTGCCCCAGGCAGAGAGACCGTGAGTGAAGGTGCTCATCAGTCAGCTAGGCCAGAGGTCCGACTCAATGGACCTGCAAGCCTGCAGCCCGTCCGCAGAAGCCCTGGGTGTGAGGGTTTCACACCAGAAAGTGACACACAACTGAGTTGGCATCTGCAGGGTGAAGGGGTTTCCAGGCCTGACGCTGGCCAGGAACCCCCGCGCAGAGCCAGCGGTCGGCAGAGGCCCACCCGGCCCCTTACCTCCTTCTTGAGTCCCTGGAGCCCGATGCTCGCGCAGACCAGCGCCAGCTCCTGCTCGCTGAGGTGGCCATTGCCACCAACACCCAGCTCTGCCCAGACGGCCCGGACCCAGCTCTCGGGGGTGTCGGACGAGGGGCTCCCGAAGGCCTCTGAGCGCCAGGCTGGAGGCTGGCCTGCAACAAGGAGAACGACAGGTGAGGCCCCTGCCCCGGTGGAAGCATGCAGGGAGATGCCAGCCCTGGGACGCTGGCAATCGGGGGATCAGGGCGCTGCACGTGAGCTGCAGGGCAGCAGAGGTGCAATCCGGCTGGGGCACGATCCCGACCTCATTCTGTCCACAAAATCTCATAGTAAGACGTCAGGAGGGATCTCTGTTCCTGCGAGGAAAGGTTTTTCTGAAGGGAACCTCCTAAAGTCAGGCCGTTGGGAAGCACACAGAAGAGAGCCACACTATCTGCATTTACAATAAAAAGACCAGTTCTATAAAACTTTACTTTTAGAAATTTTTCGGATGGGCCCAAAGTAAAGGGAACAGCCCCACAACCTCAGACGCCCAGTCCCTTGGGCGCCTCCTGTCAGCCAGGCCTGGCGGTGATCAAGACGCTGCCACACGAGCCTGTCCTGTCCCCTTTTGGTTATTGCTGAAGTATTTAAGCAAATCCCAGATCTCATGTTTTCGCCCGTACACATTTAAGCAGGTATTTCTGACAAATATGGACATTTTCTTTCACAACAACAGTACCACCATCACACCTAACAAAATCAATAATTTCCCAATAATTTATCAAAAAGTCTTACGGTTGATGGCTTGGATCAGTGTCCAGGTGGAAGCCCAGTGCGCCTGGTGCTGGTTCTCTAAGTCTTCCCGTCGCTAACAGCCCCCCTGTGCCCCATCCCCCGAGCTGCCTCATTTGAGAACTTTAATCAGTTCTGCGGACCGTCCCACCTGCTGGATTCCTGTTTCCTTCCTTGCGGTGTCAGTCATCTTGTTCCTCTGCACCTAATATCTCCCTCAGACCTGCAGTCAGCATCAAAGGCTGGCCAGCAGTTTGGGTCCAGTGTCAGGCTTTATCTCCACCCCCGCAGCCCCCGGCCCCATGCAGAAGCACCCCCACAGGTGCACACACTCCATGCCGCCCCATATCGCAGATCGGGGGAAAAGATGGCCCGTTTTCACGACATCTCCACTTCAGCCAGTTGGCTAACTGATGTTTCTGGAGCTTTGCCAGGGCAACAATGTATGGAAGGAGACAGATGGGGGTGTCCACAGGAGGCCACCTGTGGGTGACCACACTTCCAAGCAGACACCCATCTCCACAGCCGGGCCTTCCAACGGCCCAGACTTCAGACACCACGAGCCCCACGTCCGTGCTCTGGGCTCCTGGCTGGACAAGCCACCTCGGTGCTAATTACTTTATAGCCCAGCTAATAATAACAGAGCCGTCTCCAAGGACAGCCAGGCCTGCATGCTCGTGAGGGATGCCGTGGGCTGAGTCAAGGATGATGTGGGATGACGGCCCCTCTGAGACCCCTTCCTGCTCAAAGTGCCTGAGGTTTCTGAGCAAAAATGGAAAAGGTTTCTGAGCAAAAATGGAAAAGCAACCCCAACATCAGGGTTCATTTCTCAGGCTGGTGAAGGAGGCGAACGGATCTCCTCCGAGGCGTGGTGTGGGCTCTGTGCACAGTGTGTGTTCTCATCCGCTCAAGGCTCTGTGGGCAGAGGACACCTTGAATAACCTCTCCCAGGCCCAGATTAGACTTTGAGTCCAAGGAATGGGCATGTGAACGCCTGGCCGTCAAGGGCTCTGCCCCGATGTGTACAGGGTGGGCGCTGAACAAAGGCCTTTGGACTGGGGCCACATTCTGGAGGGCGATCAGTCCCAACTGCTGATCTCCAACTTCAGGAGAAATTCAAGGCCACTCTGGCCCTTCTCTCCAAGTGAGGGTCTGCCCTGTCTGCCCTGTGACACTCATTGGGGGGCCTCTCCAAGGCAGCCCCAGCCCCTGGTGTGGACGCACTGTGACCTGGTTGAGTGCACCCACTGCTGCCTCCCCGTCACCCATGGGGCTCTCGAGGGTCAGGAGCACATCCTACACCCTACGTGCCCCACAGCCAGGCCCCTGGTGGTGCCCACCTACCCCCAACAGCAGAGGAATGGTCCTCGCAGACCAAGGAATACACCAGACGTGCTGCTCCCTGGGCCGCGGCCTCTGCCCAGGGCCTGACCTTAGGGTGTGCCGAGGACCCAGGAACCAGCTCCAGGCTGGGCACCCCTGGAGAGGGGACCCCTGGGCCACACTGCATGCTTCCCGCGAGATGGCATAGGGCCAGCTCATGGGCCGACACCACCCTGGCACCCTGGGCTTCAGAGCTATGAGCAAAGGCGGAGGACAAGGCCCTTTACCTTGTGCCTCAAACGACGCATCCTGAGGTTCTTTGGCATTTTTGGCTTCTTCGTCTGACTTGAGACTCTGTGGAAGGCGAAACGAGGATGTGAACTCCCGCGTCTGTGGTGGTGGACGGAGTATCGGGAACAAACAGAACGGAGCGGTTTGGGCCCAGGGAGGGACTGAGGGAGAGGAGCGACAGCTTGGTGGGACGCAAGTCCTCAGGTGACCCACGCGGGCAGGGTGGCCTCTGAGCCCGGATGCAGGGCCTGGCGAGACTGGTTCCCTCTCACAGAGTGCAGACCAGGGACGGGCTCTGCTCCCGGGGGGCTCCTCCACACACACCAACACACACCTGTACACTAACAGGGGAGGAGAACCCTCCCCAGACCAACGCCTCCTCGAGGCACAGGCCTTGCCACACTGCGGCCTCGCTCTCCACACCCTCCCTATCATCCGGCAAGCAGGGGCCGTGGGTCTCTCTGTCCCTCCGGGGGCTCCACAGACAGCACGGGGCACAGTCACGGCCTCAGGGCCCTGAGCAGGCTGTGGCCCACAGGCGCGGGCCCCCAAGAGACGGCTGAGTCAAGTGAAACCTCACGGTCCATGACGGCAAGCTGGCCATAAAATCATTCCAACAGGTGCTGTGGGCCCCGCGACTGATCCTGTGGGGCATGCTAGCCGAGCAAGAGCCCGCGCCCCTCAGAGCCAGCCCTGAAGCGAGGGAGGGAGTCTGGGAGCACGCAGAGGGCCCCGTTTCTCTAATGTGTTCAACCCCACTGACAGTCCTGAAAGCGGCTTCCCGTGCTCTTGTTCTGAGGATCTGAGGCGGTTTTAGTGGGAGGGCACTAAGGAGATGGAGCGACTCGCCCAGCCCTTCTTCCCTGCGGTCAGATTTGAAGAGAGAATAAAAAGCAAGTGCCCAGAATATGCTGGTATCGCCCAAGCGCAGCACATCTGTGAGCAAAGAGCCTCTAGCACTTAAACATGTATGTTTTTCCTGTTGGCTTCAACAAATGCTGAACATATAAGCAATTCGTCTGGGGGCCCAGAGCTGCCTTATCAAAGGAAAGCCCCTCTAAAGCCCTTTCTGACAAAGGTGACGTCATGGAGAGCAGCAGCCAGGAGCCTTCTGGAACCCTTGGGACGGTCGAGGAGTCCACGCCCTACCTGAAAGTAGCCACCTGCCCCAGGGCACACCTCCTGCCACAATGGCTGTGAGGCCGCGGGAGCTCCCCCAACCCGTGGGTCCCAGCACCCCAGTGAACAGCCCAGGGCCACGGGGACGAGGACCACTCCCAGGCCGCCGGGCCCATGGCCATAGTACGTCAGATCCTTCCTGGCCTTGTAGCGGCGTCAGAAAAGGGTCCTCCTGGTTTCCTTGGGAATTAACACTGTGCTCCTGGGACACCATGGAAACACCTTGCGGTGCTGGAGCGCGGAGGCGGCGAAGCAGGGCAGGGAGAGGAACAGGGGCCTGGGACAGCCCCCGCACTGTGCTCTGCGGCCACGGCTTCCCTGCAGACAACCGGACCCGGGGCACCTCGGGAGGAAAGGCCCGGCCCCAGGTGCAGCTGCGCCGCGTCGACCTGCGGGGCCGGACAGCCCGCCTTCCCTGGCCTCACAGACTCAGGTCACGAACTGAGACCCAGTGAGACGCTGTTGCCCCGACACCCGGCGCCCAGCCTGGGAAGGGCCTACCCACCTCCATGCTCTCCAGAGACGCGGGGCGCTGGGTCTGACCGCTGGCGGTGGCCCTGGCTTGCTGCGCGGGTGGACATGCAGCTCTGGGTGCAGGTGCAGGGTGGCCCGGCTCGGGCCAGCTCCAGCGGCCATACCGCTTAGAGCCGCTCACGTACTTTGGTGGGACACCCTGCAAGGCAGCTGGAAAGAAAACGGGCGTTTGGTGGGGGGCCCTTTACAGCAGCCTCTGGGCCCACGCAGGCTGCCTCGGGTGGGAGGGTGCGGGTTGGGGCGCGGTGTGGGGCTCGCAGGTGTGCGGCTGACGGTGGAGGGTGCAGGGGGGCCGACCACAGCAACCCATTCCCAGGGGACAGAGGCCGAGCCGGGAGACGGCCGCCTTCTGTCCAAACTCCACACACTGTATATGTTTTCTAAGCATATCTTGCTTGTATTTACACATAAAAGACTCATACAAAATCTGCCTTTCGTGAAAAGAAAAATACCCTCCAGTAACCCAGCAACAGCCGGCTCTGGACTCCCGAAGGCCACTCCTGTCCTGCTCCCTGCGGCCCCCATCAGGCGGGGCTCAGCGGGGCGGCGTGGGCTTTAAGCGGACCAGGCCTTCCGGGCCAAAGGACGGCACAGGCTCCCGTTCAGGGTTCGTGAGGACGTCCTGCTCTGGGAGCCCCGTGCCCCGCCTCCCCGCTCACCTGCCCACGCCCGCAGAGCAGCAGGGACGTCTGGGGTCGAGGAGGACGGAGGTGGGAGAGGCGGGGACGGGTCACAGGACAGGCGGGAGGCGACCAAAACGGGCTGGTGGAAGGGAAAGGGATCCGGTCCAGAGGAAGGCCAGGCCGGGAAAACTGAACAGGAGCGCCCCACTCCTTAAGGCCAAGCACCGCCTGCTTCCCCACTTCTGTCCTCCAGGCCCCAGACCTCGGGGCCATCAGAGGAGGAGGCCGGTCCAGCCCGGGGAGCAGATGAACAGCCAAGCCAGGGACAGAGAGGGAGCCCAGCGGAAGGGCTTAGGGAAGAAGGCGCTGAGTTCCACGGCGTGCAGACAGTGAAGTGACAGTGCGACACCCACAGCGGCTGACACCACGCAGGCACCTGTCCCTCTCTCACCCCACGGGGACACTGCAGTCCCCTGGGACAACAGGCATGGACAGGGCCTGGCCCCGCAGACCCACCCTGAGGGAGAGCCCCCGGGGAGGGCTCAGCAGGCGGTTGAGTGTCCTGTCGGCAGACCAAAGCAGAAGGCTGGGGGCAGGTCCACGGGGCGCAGACAGGGCTGACGAGCTGGGCGCCTGCAGCTGGTTCTCATGTTTTGGGGAGGCAGCGCTGGTCACTGGGCAGCAGCCGTGAGATCAGAGGGCTAGAACCTTCAGCCCTGGGTGGGGAGAGGGCCCAGAGGTCTAACTGATCGCCAGCAGCCAGTGGTCTGACCAGCCATGCCTACGGAACGAAGCGTCCACATGGCCCAAAAGGATGGGGCTCAGAGGCCTTCTGGGTCTGTGAGTGCCCGGGGACTGGGGGGTGGCACGCTCGGACAGGCATGGAAGCTCTGTGCCCTCTGCCCTCACCCTGCCCTCTGCAGCCCTTCCATCTGGCTATTCCTGAGTTGCATCCTTTCTTAATAGGTGGCGTAGTAAACAGAAGTTTCTCTGAGCTCTGTGAGCTGAATCATCGAATTAACTGAGCCCCAGGAGGAGGTTCTGGGAACCTCCACTTTGCAGTTGGTTGGTCAGAAGCACGTGAAAAGCTGGACTTGTGCCCAAGTCCAAGGTGGGGGCGGCCTTGTGGGACGAGCCCACACCCTGCGGGGCCTGACACTGCCTCCGGGGGGAGAGCTTGGAACTGGGTCGCAGTACGCGTGTTGAGCTGCTGTGTGGGAAGATGGGCACACATCTGGAGCCCGGAGGAGCCAGCAGCCCTTGGAACTCGTGTCAAGGGAGGGACGGTCTTCCCGCACAAACGAGGTCACGAAAGGAGAGAAACTCAGATACCCAGTCCCAGTCCACATGGCCTGGCAGACACGGTGGGTTAGAATTTAGCTCTCAGCTCTGCTAAATTTTCAAGCGAAATATTATAGTGCAGAAGGCAGCAGACACATAAGGAAACGAACTTAGGAGGAAATCCCTACCGGGCTCCATGGCGCAGCCGTCTCTGTCGGGGGGGCCGGCAAGGACCAGCGCAGCGACGAGCCCTTCCTTGAACTCCTCAAAGCTGACCTGGGGACATCGGAAAGGACGAGTCAGCGCTACTTCCACCGGCTCACATGGACAACGCCTCAGCCTCGTGTTTTGCTCTCAGATGGAAACCCGTATTGGCTGCCTTTTGTCCTGAGAACATTCATTTCAGTTTTTTGAATATTCACTTAGGATTTGTAAAAATAGAAGCGTATAAAGAGGAAAGTAAAAGTGAGCCCATCACCAACATTGATACACGTAAAGAAAATCCACGTTACCACCACCCACCGAGAAACAACACTGTCGCCAGCAGCTCAGAGCACCCACCTTGGTTCCCGTCCTGGCTAGGTCACCCGCCCCCCGACTCTGACTTCCATGCTAGTAACACCCTTGCTTTTTATGCCTTCTTTGCAACGCATCCTCTTTTAAAATCTGATCTGCGTGGATCCCTGTGTCATCTGTTTACATCGCTTAAATAACCAGTGTTGGTTCTCACGGATGTGCCTTTTGCTCCTCTAGGTCCCAAACACAATTCCAGGCGGTATCAAGAGGAGCAAGAACATCGTCAAAAACACATCTGACTCTTCCATCTGTTAAAAAGAAAAAGGCATCAGCACTCTCTGGGGGACTCGTGCCGGGGGATGATCATCAAAAAGCCTCCACGGGGATCCGGGCGATGCTGCGGTCGTGCCTGCGTCCAGCCCACCGTCTCCTGGACTTGTCGTAGGAATGAGGAGGGAGATGTCTAGGCTGGCATGTGCATACAGTGAGACAACGAATTTGACCGGATCTGTACTGTTGGAACTCAACCAGGAGTTGGGAGGGGTGCAAGTTGTAGCACCCCAAAATCTCATGACTATAGACTATCTATGGTTAAAAGAACATATGGGATGTGAACAGATCCCAGAAATGGGCTGCTTTAATTTGTCTGATGGTTCAAGTACAGTTGGAAAATATCCATCATATCATAGATAAATTTTCACAAATGCCTAGGGTGCCTAAATGGTTTTCTTGGCTTCACTGGAGATGGCTGGTAATTATAGATTTGCTTTGTTTATGTCACCGTATTCCTATTATGTTAATATGTGTGTGCAAATTAATTAGCAGTTTAAAACCTATACATACTTAAGGTACTATACAAGAAGATATGTCAAAGAAATAATCAATCCTCCCAAGTTTCCTTCATATGCTACATCTATAGCTTTTCTTCTTCCTTCCTAATTACAAACCTTAAATAGAATTCGTGCCTCATATCGAATTTACCGAGTATCATAATTCCTCCAGGTGGTAAAGATACCTCGAGACAAGTGCTGGGCATAGAAGCCACAGGGCATAAATCTGCAAAGAAGTAAAAAGCTAACCTTTGCAAACAATATGGCTTCTCTCTCACTTACCAACTTTACATTTCCCTGTATGGCCCCGGAAGATGACTGGTTAGCCAGAGACGGGTAAGATTCCTCAAGGGAGGAACAACCTAAGACAGGCACAGTCGCAGGGGGGCCATCAGGTGAGAATTTGGGGATCAACAGAGGTGAGGCTCAGAACCTCACCCCCCCTGCTTTGAGAGAAATCTTCTGCATCCGTGGATGTCTTGCTGCCCTTGTCTAGCCTGGATTAATACTTAGTCCATAGGCACACACCTGATCATCTGATCATCTACATTTGCCTTCTTACAGCACTAAACTATGTTTTCTACCTTTATCTTGCATCTACCTACCACTTCAGCATTTTATTAAAAATAAAAATAATAATAATAATAATAGGAGAAATGTGGGATCAACATATAAATCAAGTACAAAAATCAAACGAATATTCATATTTGACCTGATGGTTCATAGGTCATAATGCATGATCAAAACCGAAAGTTTCTGTGATGACTGCCCTTGTACTGTTCACCATGTAAGAATTTATTCACTATGTAAGAATTCGTTCACCGTGTAAGAACTTGTTTGTTATGCTTCAGAAGATTGGGGCGTGAAGAGAACAAGGCTTGAGATGGATTAATGACTGTGCATTGAGCACTGACCCCCCCTATACAGAATTTTATTGTTGTTAACAACCAGTTGATCAATAAATATGAGAGATGCCCTCTCAAAAAAAAAAAAAAGGCATTTTTGAAATGCCCATGGTTAACTGCAGCACTCTGTGCCGGTCTTTACGAGAAGTCAAACACCCACCCTGGCAAAGCGGTCATTTCCAAGCAGCGTTTGCACAAGGATGGGCAGCTGCTTTTCCAGGTGAAGCTTCAGGCAGAGCTGGGTCAGCTCCTCCCGGTCCAGAGAGCCAGTCCCCGTGGTGTCACAGCTGCTGTAGACTTCCTTGAGCTGCGAAACATAGCGGCTGCCTTCCTCTTCACCCATCCCACAGCAGGCTGGACATGGCGGGGGAGGAAAGGACAACGGTGCGCTCTTACTGCCACAGCTCACACACCCTTCCCCTGCTTGGACGGCCCAGGAGCAGCGCAGGAGCAGGGCGCTTGGGAAAAGGCAAGCAGGGCCCCCTCGGGTGTACGCGGGGCTGGCAGGAGTGAGCTCTGCCCCTGCAGGACAGGCCAGACACGCTACCAGCCTTGCTCACAAAAACCAGAATTTCTTTGCTCTGTAAAAGATATAGATTATGATAGAATTATCAGAAAGAAAGAGACAGTTATAAAGGGAACAAAAATCATCTGAAATTTCACCACCAACTAAAATCATGATTAATATTGCCAAATATACATTCTAACTTTTCCCTGTACATATACAAATGTTTTCCCCCTTAGAAATATAAGTATTTAGCTACAAATATTAAAATCAGTAACAATTTTACTAAATTTATGTGCTTATAGGGAAAAATAGAAACTCCAATAAAAATATACAGAGGATGTTAATAAATCACAAAAGAAGAAAAATATATGGTTAATGGCCTTCTAAAAATCTTCAAATTAAAACAAAGATACTATTTGTGACTCTCAAATTATCACAAATAAAACCCTCAATGTTACCCATGGCTGTATCAAAAGAAGGGACTCTCACAGAAGATGAACTGACAATTAATGTTTTTGGAGTGCACTCTGTCTATATGTAAAGAAATTTTAAAATATTTTTATTATCTGACCCAGTTATTTTACATACACCAAATTATTTACCCTTACGAAACAGAGCTAAAGAAAAGGTGTAAAAGAAAATGACCTAAACTATCCAACAAAAGACAAACAGCTTTTTTGCTAAATCATAGTGTCTTTATATGGCAGAATATTAAATGGTCTTCGGAAATCACATTTCTGAAGAACATTTAATAGCATATTAAGTACAAAGTACAGTTGATAAAATATCAAGGTGGGATAAAAGCTTTAGAATAATAATAGCTAATATATGTTCTGGTCACTTGACATATGATAATTCATTTATGCCCAGAACATGTCTATCAAGAAACTTCTGCAACTTTCTGGGGAGAGATATATTTTTTAAAAAAGAAAAAAAAAATACACCAAAATGGTAAGAGATGATTTTATATATTACACATTTGCATTTCCTATTTTATATTTCTCAAAAAATTATAAAAAGCAAAGTTTTAAAACTAGAAAAATGTTATTAAAACATGAAAACCATTAAGCTCCTAATAGGGTGAACCATATGAAATTGCCAATATTTGACCCTTTTGACCCACAAAGATGACAGTTTCATGCGGTTCACCCTGTTGCACAGACACAGGACTTAGTGTACAATTCTGCAAAGAGGAAATGGAACGAGACAGTTAATTAAGCTCATTAATAATCAAATGATTCATAAACATCAAACAATGAAACAAAATCATTCACTAATAAAGTACGGCACAATAAGTGGCAATTTAATAAAATGTGATTTTAAAATGGTCGATGGGGCTCACCCACCATCACCCACACGGGGCAGAAAGATCCGTTCCCATCAACCCCTAAATGGAAAGATGTGCAGAGACATCATCTTACACAGGAAAACGTCAGGATCAATGACATTAAAAACTGGAGAAGCATGTTTCAAGTGACATTTCACTATGATCTTAGCCGATGAAACACCCCACCTGAGCTCTTAATTAAACACCTGCTGATCAGCTGTAAACACTACCGGTGCCCACCCCGAGGAACACACTGGCTCACAGCCTGACTTCACCAGGAGTGGGTGACACGGGGCCCGCTCCGCTGCCTGTATGGGGCTGGCCACCCGCGCCCTGTGCTCATCGAGTCTCCTCACTTCTTGGAGGGTGCACAGGGCGGCGGGAGAGGGCAATAGGGGGTGAGGCTGTCAACTGGGGCCGCAGCCGGCCCTGCTCCAGACAGTTTTGAGAAGGCAACTGTAGAAACACCAGGAGTGAGCATGCACAGAAGAGGCACATACATGGTAAATCGGGAACTAACCTTCCCAGCCCAACATGTCAGTCCTCCCACCGAAGGCAGCTCCCCTGCTGCACCGGGGGCCGCGGCCCTGTTGCAGACAAGCACGAGACCACGACTGCGCACTTTTGATGAGCCAGAAATGACTCACTGCGGGGAGAACATAACACCTCGAAGGACAAGGGCCAGAGCTCAGGCTGGGGAACAGGAGTGAGGGCGCCGAGGAGACCCACTGCGCGCTCCCCACGCCCGCCGCCAGAGGCGGCCACCCCCTCGCTCTCCCTGCGGCCCTAACTGGCCCCAGGGCCTTGGTGAATCACGAACAAACCCACCGTTTTAAATATTTTACCTTGATTGTAACAGTCAAGCAACTGAAAGTATATGAAGTATTGACTGCCTGTGGGACGCGCGCAGGCAAGCTCCTTGGGGGCCTTCTCCAGGGAGGAGGGGCTGGCAGGAGCCATCTCCCGGGCCCTCCCTCAACCCTGCCGACTGGACACCATGGGGCCGGCCTCCCACATCCCTTCCCACCATCCCCCGCTACAGGCTCTGCCCAGCACCCCCCACAGACCCACCAGACCCAAACACGCAGCCTGCACGGAGCCCCGTGGGCTGGTGCGATCACAGGAGGCCACCAGCCACTGCTGGCAGCCAGATGGCGAGCCGCTCTAGCCCCTGCCTGCCCACAGCAGCCGTGGCTCAGGTGCGACAGGATGGCACCTGCAGCCTGCACAGGGGACACCTGCAGAGCCTGGACCAGGGGACCAGGGGCTTCTGCGCTTCTGGGACAGCAGGACACCACCATGTAAGGCCGCTTGGTTCAAGACCAAGACACACAGCTGACCTGATGCACAGAAACAGAGCACCAGACAAAATGAGGAGACAGTGCAATAAGTTTCAAACAGAAGAACAAGACAACATGCCACAAAAATTGCTAAATGAAATGGAGATAAGCAATCTACCTGGTAAATAATTCAAAGCACTGGTCATAAAGAATGGATGAACTCAGGTAGGAATTCAAAAAAGAGACAGAAAATATACAAAAGAACCAGTCAGACAAAGCTAGAAAAGACTCAGAGTTAATCAGTTAAAGTTCAAAAGGTCAAGTGCAACTTGGCTTTGAGTGTTTGAATATTCCCCAGATAAAAGTATCTGAGCACAGCCCATGTCTTCATTGCGTCAATTAGCTCATTGTAAGATTTACTCTAGCCTGCTGAAAGGTCCTCCTATAAACAGCATAATAATGACAGGGAGATCCTACCTTAAAGCCAAAATTGCATTTGAAAAAAAACCCAGGAAGTTTAAGAAGAAAGATTCTTAACATACTCTTTAGCAAACAAATAGCTCTGCCCACCTTGAAGGAAGGTAGACAGTCTTGATTGATAAGCTAATTCTGCAGAATTACCTAGAGGGCTGATAAGAAACTTAATGTCTCATCAAAGATACTTGAGACCACTTAACAAGCCCACACCCCTAGCCCTTTGTCACACATTCCTGAAAAATCCTTAAAAGGGGGAACCCCAAACCTGTCAGGGTGCTCCTCTCTCTGAGGTTGCCTGTACTTCTTTCTCTCTAAGTAACTTGAAATAAAACCTTTACTCTGCTTCAATTAAATAAATAAATAATAATAGAAGAACCGGTCAGACCTGAAGAATACAGTAACTCAAATGAAAAATACACTAGAGGGCATAAATAGATCAGAGGATACAGAAGAACGGACCAGAAATATGGAACATAGGGTGGTAGAAAGCAACCAAGCTGAGCAACAGAAAGAAAAAGGGATTTAAAAACTGAGAAGATGCTAACAGAGCTCAGCCTAAGCTTCAAAAGAAACGACATCCGCACTGGCATGCAGGGGTATCAGGACGAGAACACAGAAAGGGGCAGAGACCTATTTGAAGAAATAATGGCTGAAAACTTCCCCAACCTGGGAAAAGAAACAAACACCCAGATCCAGAAAGCCCCAAACAAGACAAACCCAAGAGAATTCACACCAAACACATATTAAGTAAAATGGCAAAGAGTTAAGATGAAGAGAATCTTAAAAGCAGCAAGATAAAGGCAGTTAGTTACTTATAAGGGAAACTCCATCGGCTATCTGCTGATTTTTTTAAATTTATTTTTTATTAAAGTATCAATGATATGCAATCTTATGATCATTTCACATAAACAACAGATGGGTTTCAACATTCACCCATATTGTCAAGCCCTTACCCACCCCACTGTGGTCACTCTCTATCAACGTAGAAAGATGTTATAGAGTCCTTAATTGTCTTCTCTGTGTACCAGCTGATTTCTGAGCAGAAACGTTACAGGCCAGAAGGGAGAGGCATGAAATATTTAAAATGCTGAAAGGAAAAAAAATCTACACCCAAGAATATTCTACCCAGCAAGGTTATCATTCAGAATTGGAGAGAGAAAAAGTTTTCCAGATAAACAAATGTTAAAAATTCATCCCCACTAAACCAGACTCACAAGAAATGTTAATGAGACTTCTTTAAACGGAAAAGGAAAGGCCATAAGTGCAAGTAAGAAAATTAAGGCAGGGAAAAAACTTTCACAGGTAAAAACCTACAGTAAACGCAGCAGACCAGTCACTTACAAAGCTAGTATTAAGTTCAAAAAGCAAAAGTAGCAAAATCAATTATGTCCACAAAAGTTAGTCAAGGAATACACAAAATATTATGACATCACATACATAAAACATGGTGGGGGAAAAATAAAAAATGTAGTATTTTTATAACATGTCCAAATTTAAGTGATCACCAACCAAACAAAGACTAGTATACATACAGGATGCTGTATATGAACCTCATGGAAACCACAAACCAAAAACTTGTAAGAGAGACCCACAAAAAATAAAGGGAAAAGAATCTAAGTACAACACTAAGGAAAGCCATCAAATCACAAGAGGAGAAAGGAATAGAAAAGAACTACAAAAACAACTAGAAAACAACAAAATGGTAACGAGTACATAGCTATCAAGAATTACGCTAAATGTAAATGGACTAAATACTTCAATCAAAAAACATAGGGTGGCTGAATGGATAAAAAAAACAAGGCCCAACCACATCCTCCTACAAGAGACTCATTTCAGACCTAAAGACACATCCTGAAAGGGAAGGGATGGAAAAAGATACCCCATGACAAGGGAAGTGAGCAAGAACCGGAGCAGCAATACTTACATCAGACAAAACAGCCTTCAAAATGAAGACTGTAAAAGGACACAAAACAGGGCATTACAAAATGA